TAGTAAGCAAAAGCAAGCTATTCAAACACTTGTAATGGCTTGTAAGCATTATAAGCAGATATTACACTGTCACAAATTAATAAGTATGTCTTAACCTTGTAATTTAGGAAGTATATTATAATCACTTGTATAACTTGACAATTTATAAAATTATATCAGAAATTGCCAAGTTTTAAAAGTATTTTTTCTTGCTTATTTAACATTGTACTTTCCTTGCTTAACCCCCCAGGAAGATTATAAGTAATTGGACAAATTTTATAAATTTTATAAAATATACAAGATTACAAGCAAGTATAATACTTAAGACTTTTTTGTGAGGCTCCTGCAATCACTTTTGTTGAAATCAGCACTTTAGAAGTAGAGGCTTAGGTATGGAAAGTGGATGAATAGAGTTATAATCATGTTATATGCCTGAATGCTAGTGCTGACAACATTTGACCTTATGGCAAAGGGTCTGTTAGAGACATGCATGCCTGGCATGTGAAGGAGATCAATTACTTTGTATAGCCAACTAGCTTTTGACAATCGGCTCTTAACCTTGGAATATCCTGGACCAGTCCGAGTTCCAGCCTGAGTTTCTTTAGTACTGCTCCCTCATCTGTCATGAGTCTGTTGTCAGATGTAAGGAAACTCACTGTTCCTCACAAGAGAATTCTAATCACCCTTAGTTCACTCAACTACTAACTAGGATAATCTAGTACTTGAGTGAGGGGTCAGGGGAAAAGAATCCCCTTTACCTAGCAGTTGATACTGTCTTTTATAGGGGTATACACATGTAGATACATGAGGAGGAAGTGTAACTAACTATAATGAGAATATATGTGCTTGTGGGTCCTACTGTACAATGATCTGATACAATCAGCAATGTAGTAGTAATAAAATACAAACCAGTAAATCAAATCCTTACACTTGCCCTCTAGCATTTAGTCCTAAATGCTAAAAATTAGTAAAAAGGTAGTGAACTTACTAAAAGTAATAGTTAGTAGCAAGTAAATAATAAAATACCTTGCCTATACATATGGGAAACATTCTTGTAATGTATTACTGCCTCTCTGAACTGATTCAAAGTTGATCTAGTGAGTATTAAGACAGTAGTAGTGTTCTAGACAGTGAGTAGTATAGTTCTAAACTATGTGAAGCTAGATAAAACATTAATAAAATTAAACATGGTCATTATTACTGTATAGTCAATTAGTAGGAAAGTTGCCTCTTGATTGTTACTATTGATACAACACTTTTTAAAGAGAATCAGTAGAGTTCCTAGGGAGATATAGTGTTTTGGCTCTTAAGTATTCTAAGACACACAGTGTAGATTAATATGTACAGAAGTAGAAATTCTGGCAGTGTAGTAATTACAAATATTCTCTTCTCTTGTGTCTTTAGGAAGTACAGAGGTAAATCCCTGATTGACAAAACTATAGTCTTCTTCCTTAATAGAATGTATTAGTGTTGTGGATTCTAGCTGACCTTGCATGTTTCTCTACTTCTATAGAATAGTTATACAATAATAGATAGTAGAGATGTATTCTAAAATTCCTCTACTATGTCCTTAATTTTTCTAATAGACTAGTTCCTACAAATGTAGTACCTTATACTTGTATTAATAGAATGTCTCTAAATGTGTACTCCTTTGTATGTAATAACCAACTGTGATACAAAACTGGATATCCTGTTAAGCTCAATGTTTAAATACTAATTGTAGAGTACAACCTAGAGTATAATATTTGTCCTTGAATGAAAATATTGTCTCAAATTCAATAAGATTGTAAGGTATGAGTCTAATATTACTAGATATGTGTGTATATACATAGTATCTCTGTGTATAATGAATGTCCTACTGTGTTCTCATACTGTTTCCTTGTGTCTTGACTTGTTTGTGTTTTTGTAAGTTGATTGATTTGATTCCTGAATTGTCTGAGTATACTTTCACTGTCTCATAGTACAATGTTCTATTACAAAATGTCTAAGTAGTGTTCTCTACTTTCCTAAGTGCTGTAACTGTCTATATACTATATTGTTCTATGTATGTCTCAATAAAATATCCTGTCTGTATGTATAGTAGTACTGCCTGAAGTCCTGAGTGTATGCTACTAATTCTCTGTTCATTTAGTAAATCTATGTGTGGATCAATACATTCTAGCATTAACTTCCTGTCTTTCTGTGTACTTGTCCTTGTACTAATGTATTCTTTCCTTGTGTACTTATCATGTGTCCTGTTTCCTATAGTACTAATACTGTCTGGTTCTACAAAGTCCTTTACAAAATTGTTTCATAGTATCTCAAGTAAGAAAAATGTGTGTTCAAACATGATTGTATGCTCAAAGAGTGTGTATGTAATGTAATGTGTGTGCCTCTCACCCTCTTGTTAAAATATGACTTTATTTTCAGTGTAAAATGTCTAGTACTGTTCTAGAACATATTTATAGTGTTTGGAGAGGTTCTCTACATGATTTCATACTTTAAACTGATTGTAACTACTCATTCCTAGAGTAGATTAAACTGTATCATTGTCTAATAGATGTCCTAGAGCTTTCTAATACTTAATATCTCTCTGTAGGATTGGAATATCATTCCTGTGTACTTGAATAGTCTGTTCAATCATTCCTAATTTACTATCACTCTGATCTTTACTAGCTGTATGTGTATTGTCTTTACTTTCTCTTAAAGTAGTGTAATAATTTGTTTGAGTGGATTAAGCAAATTGAGCAGATTGTCTAGGTTCCAAACCTGTTCTCTAACTTAAAGTCACTCTCTAAACTTCTATACTTTGTTCCATACAAAGTGTATCTGTTCCTAATCTCAGTAGTGTCTTACTATCATTCTGATACATAGATTGTAATAGTTTGACATTCTGTAGATTGTACTTATTATTCTATAGCTTGAATATTACAATCCTTACTATGTATCCTAAGTATATGTATACTAGCACATCTGTTTGAGTGCCTGTAATACTCATACAATGTTTAATAAAGTATCCTGAGTTTATTCTAATGAATCCTAATTGTCTGAAAGTGTATTTCACAATGTAATACCTTATGTTCTCCTAAAACTGTGTTCTATACAATATATCCTTGTAGTCTGAGCTGGTTCTAACATTTCTGAACAATTCTTCATTATAAACTGAATAGTTTCATAGTGTAACATCCAATTGTACCTTATAGAACATTGTTCTATGTAAAGTTCTTCAATCATACTCTGTACTAATCATTTCTTCAATTCTGAAGCTAGAAATGTTTGTTCTAATATTGTAGAATTGATATACCTGAATGTCTGAACATTCTACTAGTTCTGAAATTGTCTGAAGCAGTTCTTCACTTTTGAATACTTTTCTGTACTAATTAGAATTGACTGTGTATACATATGTCTGTGTCTTTCTATTACTGTCAATATATCTCTATACCTAATACTTATTCTAAAGTAGTATTATCTTATTCCTAATGTATATACACTTTTCCTTACTCAATGTACTAATGTCTGTCTTTCAATACATAATGTAGCCTTCTAACTTAATAGAATACCTGTGTGAATTGTTTAGATTGAAATATTTCTTAGTATCTAAGAGTAGTTATAGTTTATAGTCTAGTAATGCTTAATAGATTGTCCTGCTTGTACAGTTTACTATTTACATTGTCTTATAAACTATAATACTATCTAGCTAGTTATATTCTAATCTTCTAACATTCTCAGGTCCTTTCCTAATGTTCTAGTACACATTCCTATTGTCTGTAAACATCCTATATTTCTTAAGAGTGTTGTTTTGATTTGTGGCTCTAAGAATTAGTAGTAGTGTCTCTAAAGTGTTTATATATGTATTGTCTTGTGTCTATAGTGTCTTAGATTCCTTGAAACAATAGTTGTATGTATGTTTCCTAGTCCTTTCTATGTGCCATATGTATTCATAATCTTGTAGAATCCTTTCTACACTGTATACTTGTACTTTCAAGTGTAAAATGTTATTATATACTGTATACAATTGTTTATCTTAATGTTTAGACTTTCTACAATATTTATTCCTGTACTAAATGTCTGTAGTATGATGCCTAAATGCTATAGTCTTATAGGGTCTCAAATATACTGAATTTGCCCTTTCAAATGTGTTGTTTGTATGCCTGAACTTGTGTTCCATTGTGAAACTCTTTTGTTCTATTACTGAATCCTTAGTAGTACTTTCACAAAGTATTCAAATTAATAAAACATATATATTGCTACTAGATATGTAAGAATCTGTGTCATAGTCTGTAATCAACTCTAATTCTATGTAGTTCTTACTGTCCAAGTTGTCTACTAACTTATCTAAAGTAGTGTAACTAATACTAACATTACTAGATGATAAACTATTATCCTACACATTGTTTACTCTGATTGTATTATGAGTAGGACAATTCCTAGCTAAGTGATCATCTTGTTTGTAAATGAAACATAGTCCTTTCACTCTCATTTCATCTAATTTCAATTAGGAATAATGTTTGAAACCTGTAGTGTATGTTCTATGATTGTTTCCTGTCTTACTTTTATACTAGTCATTGTTCCTAGATAGATAATACAATTGTCTAGCCTTTCCTTTAGTGTTTGTACTGCTTGTATGTGTAATATCCTGACTAGAGTCACTATAATCTGAATCATTACTTTTACTATCCTGTAGAGTGAATTGATTGTTTCCTGAATTATTAAAACTGTCTGTATACAAATAATTACTCTAAGAATCAATATTACATCCTTACATATTAAAATGTTGTCTAGAATCTATGTACCATTTGATTCCTATGGATTTATTTGCTTTTTCAATACTCTCAAACTTATCCTTAAAGATTGAGTAATCTATAGTGTCTGGATTCAAGCAATCTAATTGTAATTGCCTCTAGTACTTGAAATTCAATCTATACTATGTCTGTCTAGTTAATTCTTGCTGAGAAATGTTTCTAAGATTTGTTACTTTCATCTCTAAGTTGTACAAATAATTCTGAATATTCCTATTACCTTGTTTTAAAGTGTTGAACTCTTTCCACAGTATTTTAGTAAAGTTAGAAGGGAAACAAAAGTCTATAAGTTCTCTAAAGAATTAAGCAAGTGTTTATTAATACTTATAGTTTACAATCTTTTACAAATAGAAATTTATTACTTTTCCCTTAATAAAACCTAACATTATCCCTACTCAGCTCTTAGGGAAATAATAAAGTCCTAATTGTTTCATGTACTAATTAACTTTAATAACAAACTTTGTATACTTCTACAAGTCTGGTTTACCTGAGTATACTGTAGGAGCTATTAGTTCTGTACTGTGTATCTGTATCTTCAATTTGAGGAGTTCTTTGTTCTGTTTCTTTCTCAAGCATTTCTTATACTTCTTAGTAGTCTCTGTATTACTTGAATCAATGTTTGACAGTTTGAATAAAGCATTACTTTGATTATTGTCATTAGATGAAGAGGAATCTGAATTATTACTATCTGAGTCTGATCCTAGGTTGAGATTTCCCTTTCTCTGTATTCTAGAGCTCTGTATTGTTCTGTATGTGTAGCTATTCTTTGCTAGGCTCTCTGAAGGTCTTACTAATACAAATCTGCCTTTCTGAACATTTTTTAATGATTCACTATACTTGTGTTCATTGTTTGTTCTTAAACTACTATTAGAACTATTCTTATACTTACTATACTCAATATGTAGCTTTGAACTGTATAGTTTGCTACACTCTGAATCAATATTGTTCTCACTAATACTACTAGTGTATACCTTGCCTGAGACTGCTTTCAATTGTAAAGTATTGTTATAGGATTGTTTGTTCCTTTTATTTTCACAAGGGATACTCTAATGTTCTGAAAAACTTAATGTTTTTATGTAAGACTATATATATCCAGGTATTTTACTTTCTCTCTTATTCCTAGACCTGGCTAGAGTGTTGTATCTGTTGTAGTAGTCTTGTATATTGCTCCTGTGTAATGTATAGTTGATATCTACCATGTATAAGGTTAAACACTTGATTTTGTAAGTGTATACTTGATTTTCACTCTCTAAATCAAGTACTAATCCTTGTAGCTCTAATTTACATTCACTTTTACTATCCTCAAAGTACTGTTCTGTTAATACAATGTCTGTTTTGCTTAGATAGTCTGAATTGATTTCATAATTGTATTGAATGCTTGACAGTTCTGGTTTTCATTCTGTTTCTTGTACTTTGTGTTTTCCTTTTACTTTATACTTTCCTTTTACTTTCTATGAATGTAATTGTTTGTCTGGACTCTTGAGTGTTTCTTCTACACTCTTAGATTGATAGTTCTGATCTCTATTGTCTGTAAGTACTATAGCATGTCTAGCTTTTGTTCTATAGTCTGTCTAAAGTGTTTCACACTTTTCTGTTACTATACTATTAAGTCTACTCTTGTTTGATAAAGGAGTTGCTTTCTCCTCTTCCTGATACATTCTATTAAACTTGTACATTCTCTTATTCAAATCACTAATGTCTATTAAACTGTAGAATGGGCTAACATGTTCTATGTCTATCTTAATTACTCTAACTCTTATAATGTGTCTAAAGGTCTTCCTTACCTTCTAGAAGTCTTGTTCCTTATCAGATCTCTGTAATTCTAATGTCTGGCTCTTCTAGCCTTGTCTGTTACTCTTGTTCTTTGAGTCCTGGCTACTTTCTTTACTACTGAAAATGGTCTTAAATGTCTTATTACCTTCTATATTACTGTTGTCAATGTGTTTCCATTCTGAAGTAAGTGTGCTCACTAGATACTCATCTACACTCTCACTAATACTAACTATATACACTCTGTAACTCTTGTACTAGCTTACAAATTCCTTAATACTTACTGTTAGCTCTTTATATTAACTTAGTGAATCCTCAAACCAAATTGCCTGTCCTCTATTAAGTGAATCCTCAAACTCAGTAGTCTTAAATTGATCAAGTAAATCCTCAAGCTTAATTGCCTGTACTTAGTAAGTTGAATCCTCAAACTCAACCTTCTGTACTTGATTAGACAAATCCTTGAATCTAATTACTTAAGCATCTTTACTCTTTGTACTACTATTTGTTATTTCTTTGAGCCTAGTAAGGTCAATACTTGCTAGTGTCTACTCTATAGTGTACATTTGTCTAACTATATGTGTTAGTACAGTTACATACCTTAATTCTACATTATTAGTATGTAGTAGTTTATTAGAGTGTCTCTAACCTTGTGTAGACAAGGACTTATCACCTGGGATAAGTTCATCAGGTTGTCTCCAGCCTACAAGGGATGAGGACTTACATTCTAACATGTTAGTATTAATATTCAGACTTGGGTACTCTCTAAGAATCATCTGTTAAGACTCAGCAGTTACATTGTAATCAATATCTAATAGATAATCTTGTTGTCCATTGTCTGTAAACTTAATGTGCACCTGTTTGTTCCTTTTTGCCTTTACAGATGCCTAGTCCTTGACTCATCTGATTAATACAAACCTTTAGCATATCTAGTACTAGTCCATATTAATATGTGTTAATGTGTTCTAAAAGCATTCTACAGTATTCTGAAGCATTGTGAACCTACTAAAGGCTAATCTAGTAAGTAGTCTCTGTTTCTACTTGAAAATCATAACTTTACTCACAAAAAATTCCTGATAGGTACTAGACAACAAGGGAGACCTAGGGTTGATCAGACTCTTTGGTTCCTCAACATCCAGCAAGAGGTTTCAATGCTAGGTGAGTACAGTCAAAAATATGTAAGGAAACTCACTATTCCTCACAAGAGAATTCTAATTGCTCTTAGTTCACTCAACTACTGACTAGGATAACCTAGTACTCAAGCAAGGGGTCAGGGGAAAAGAATCCCCTTTACCCAGCAGTTGATACTGTCTTTTATAGGGGTATACATGTGTAGATACATAAGGAGGAAGTGTAACTAACTACAATGAGAATATATACACTTGTGGGTCCTACTGTACAATGATCTGATACAATCAGCAATGTAGTAGTAATAAAATACAAACCAGTAAATCAAATCCTTACATCAGAGGAGCTTCGTCCAAAGAAAACCCTCGTAGGTTCGCACCAATGCGGAGCGCAGCAGCGGCAGGTCCAAAACCTAAGGAGTGTGCTGCCCGCGCAATGGCTCGTTCAAGCGCTCGCCCGCCTCTTGTGAAGACATATTTGTCTAGAATACGACCTGGTCCAGGAAGATCTGAAGCGGTCATTGTTGAGGAAGAGAGATGCGAGAATACGGAATTTAACGACTGGACGGAGGCCACCCGCCTGAGCGGCCGGCTCGAGCATTCGCTGAAAGGTTCCGCCTTCGATTGGTCGGAACGCATTGTTTGCGAAAAGTGACTACTTGGTTATTTTGTATGGAGGACGAGAAGAGTTTAACCATTGTTAACGATGATATGGACATGAAGGGGAAAGGAGACGACGATAAATACCAGGATAATTCAACTATTGAACTGATTGACGGTGATTGTACTGTAAAGCGGGAGCAAAATAGGCTTGACTTCGATTGATTGCGATCATTACCATAAATAGTAAAAACTCAATGAGAATCACGGCCAATTTAAGCCGAAAATAGCGAGGCAGTGTTCAAAGTGATGGTTGTAGCACAGCACGCAGATAGAATTGCTGGTTGATGACATGGTTTAGAACATATGCTGTCTCTATAAATGCCCAAAGATAAGTTACCGCTGAAGGAATTGATATACAGCAACGATAGCTATGGATACACTCCGAATCCAAACATGTATGTACAATATCGTGAACATTTAGAATCATAATTCATCCTGCTTAGATTGAAGCAACGAAATAGCAGAATATCCTACAGGTGGCTGTAGAGAGATTGAACATTCAGAAACACTTGGAAAGTCACGTTGTAGCCATCCCGGGAAAGGCTTCGGTGTAACCTGCCTTACCACATAGAGGCTCAGCCTGCGGCTTCAGCTTCGTTAACGAAACAAAAGAGGCATTGGGAAAGAGAGTCTGCGCGGCTGAACTGCAAAGGGAAAGGTAAACCTCAGTCAATGTAGGCGAATCGAGGAGGCAATAGAGATGCTTACGACTCAAAGATATTAAGGGCGTCGCAAATCAACAAATCGCGAAGCTTAGCGGAGCGCGTTTCCAATTGTTCGAGGAGCGGATCCCACGTAACAGCGCGATAAAGCATTTCGAAAATCGTTTCAGAAAATAGATCTATACCCTCGGGATCCGGCTCTGCTAAAGTGACCAAGTTTCCGAGCGTGGTACTCCCAAGTCTTGGTTCGTTGAGACACTGTTTTAAGCAAGAATAGCATCTACATGGCCGAGTAAGTTCTGTTTGAACGAGATTCTGCATGCAACCTATAAGTTCTCTCCAGAATCCAGTCATAGTTGCGCTGTTGAGTTTCACGAAGAATTCAGCCCCGCGGGAGAGGAGGGAGTGTCGGAAGATGATGCCAGTGAAACGCAAAGCTGCGAAAGAAGTGTGAGGGTTCCTGTTAAAATATCATGAATACACGTTTCACAACAGGGTCCTTTGACATACTCGCAATACTTGCGAATCATCTCTGCACTCGGAAGGTAAAGGTGCCGGGGACACGTGCTCCACGGACTTTGCTGCTCTTCAGCATACTTTGTCTGTTCTGCCAAATGGTCAACTAGACGGGCGACGCTTCCCGGATCGTCCAAGGGAGTGAGACAAGCGAAAGTCATCCGAGCAAGCGTCTCTTCTAGCAGCTCATCGTCAGTTACTCGACAAGGCGGCAAACTCGCGCGATCACTTTTGTTGAAATCGGTACTTTCGAAGTAGAGGCTTAGATATGGAAAGCGGATGGATAGAGTGATAATCATGTTATATGTCTGAATGCGAGTGCTGACAACATTTGACCTTGTGGCAAATGGTCTGCTATAAGAAATGCATGTCATATGTGAGAGGGACCAATTACTTTGTATAACCGACAAGCTTCTGACAATCGACTCTTAGACGGGGAATATCCTGGACCAGCCCGAGTTCCAGCCTAAGTTTCTTTGGTGCTGCGCCCTCATATGTCATGAGTGCTGTTGTCGGAGGAGTTTCATCTAAGGAAAATCCGCGCAAGTTCGCACCAATGCGAAGCGCAGCGGCAGAAGGTCCGAAGCCTAATGAATGAGCAGTCCGTGCAATGGCTCGTTCAAGTGCTCGCCCGCCCCTCGTGAAGACATATTTGTCCAGAATGCGACCAGGGCCGGGAAGATCTGAAGCGGTCATCGTTGAAGAAGAGAGATGTGAGAATGCGGAATTTAACGACTGGACGGAGGCCACCCGCCTGAGCGGCCGGCTCGAGCATTCGCTGAAAGGTTCCGCCTTCGATTGGTCGGAACGCATTGTTTGCGAAAAGTGACTACTTGGTTATTTTGCACGAAGGACGAGGAGAGTGTACCGACTGTGGGTGCTGACACAGACACGAAGATGGTGGTCTTGGGACAGGGGATGATGGGTGTAAATCGACTAATTGTACGGCAAAGTCGAAGTAGATAGACTTTGATTTGTTGTGATGTATTACGATCATTCCCATAAATGGTAAAGATCTCAATGAGAATCACAGCTGATCTAATACGAAACAGCGAGGTGCGCTGCGTCAATCAATACCTAATATAAAACGTGTCTTTGCCAGCCAGTCAGAGACTGAAAGCACGAAGATTAAATAGCGGTGGTACAAGGATTTGTAGCTTTGTCTAATTTTTTATATTGTACCGTTGATTGTGGACCACTTGAAAAGGAAAGAGCCTTATGGAAGAAGGTACAGCGTTCGTCATGCTCGATTGATGACCAGAAGAGAGGAACCACTCAGGTTTGCTGCGGGTGGCAGAGTACGTAAGGGAATCGGGCGGTGGATATGCGAAATGCTCCCTTCATGAAACTCGGAGCGTGCAGACCTTATGGTATCTGAGCGACTCAATTTTCCCTGCCTACAGAGATGAACAAGATTATAGTCAACAAATGACACGAATAACAGTTGAGAGTGAACTGACCGGGCCTTGCGGCGAGAATATACGACGGCTTGCTTGACTCCGTTCATCCGACGATGTACGTATCGCATCGCAATAATAGTCACGATTACCGTCACCGAAACAATGACTCCGGAGACAATTCTTTCTTCGCGGCTTTCTTTGCCTTTTTGTGATAGCCGTAGATAAGAATAACGTATTTCATGACAGTTTACAACTCACCTATGCCAGTCGTCTCTAAGACGACGCCGAGATAGACAAGCGCAGCCTGTTTCGGAAGTGATAGAGCCGTTGCGAATATGTATACGACAATATTCATCCCGGAAGTTGAAAATATGACCGTCAATACTAAATGAAGCCTGTGATTGAGCTTGGAAGAAACATCTGAATCTGCGCCACTGACAATGTCCAGGGATTGCACTGAACCGTGCAATAAGTGCGACCTTGAAGCTCCCTTCTCTAATTGCCCTGACAAGACAGGCATAGTAAAGGCTCCTCTGTTCTACTTTAGCACCTTTCGCCTTGCAGCAGTACCTGAACGCGCTGGCACATGAAGTCGTTAAATTCTAGGTGAAAATGCATTGTAAATATCAGGTACTTACTAGAAGTTACCGATCTCGCCAAGAAGAGTTCCAGCAGCTGTAATACCAAATCCAATCCAGAATCCCCAGATGACTCCAGTAAGCATGGCTACTATCTCATGGCCGAGAAGCTGCCAATAACAACGTGCATATAGTGTAAAACCTGAATCAATGAGATAGAAATTGACTTACTGGTGGAAATGAAATAACGAATAGAATGGTAATCGGTATAAGCCATCCACCGCGTATCCTACATGCACGTGAGTTAGATATGCATAGCATACAAACGCTTGCATGGTGGTGAATGGCTGAACGCACTCTCGCAGATGGCGTGCTGTCGGTTCAAGCGCATTCACAATTTTCTTGTTGAAACGAGCGAGAAGAACGGTTAATGTGATGACTATCAGTGCTATGGCATAGTACCCTGATGAGGATAAGTGACTGCGTGCCATTGTTCTTCTAGGGGGTACCCACATATCCTGTCTTTTCTCAGCCAAAACCTCCAGCTACGCATACGCTGCCAATCAATGAAACCATTTCTATTGAGAAAGGCCGTCTCTGACGGCGTAGGAGATGGTGTACGCGAGACAACTCTCTCTATAACAGCATAATCTTCGGATCCAACATTGTCTGAATGCTTTGATTTGTGTTTGGAGAACTCGGAAGTATGTGTGGGTCCAACCTGGGGAGAGACTAGAAATGGACCAGCTGTGTAACTAAAAGAGGTAGCGTGGTAATGATCAACCATATACGCACTATTGCGATCCTCCTGTTGAATATTACGATGCATATCGACTTAAACAGTGGCAATTTTCTGCGAGTTTGGTTTAACGTTCTGTGGGCAGCCCCAAAGTTGTATCTCACAGCCTGCTTGTCTGCACTTGCCTTAAATAATGGGACAACTGCCGCATCCTTATCCTACTGATCGTGTGAATGTCCGTTGCTGTATTATCTTCGTGCTGTAAGCCTGTATTATGCACATCAGCGAAGCATCTACACAGGTTCTTTTAATCAACAAATTTCGTAGGGTCCGTTATTTCCACTCCATCTGATCCCGTGCATTGCCTCGCCGGCCGCCCACTTCTTTCAGTAAACTATCTGATAGGTGCGGGTCGTGTGCCGTGGAAGCAGCAGACTCTCCTTTACAAACACTTACTTAGTGTAACTTGTTTAAAGTGCTTTGACTTCATACTTGACATGTGAATGGTGAAGAAGTGAGCTACGTGAAAGGAAGGAAACAACAACAACGTTGTGGCTTCCCCGTCAACTATTTGGTGTACAAGTCATCCCGATCTTCGCTCAATATCATCTTGCAATTCATTTCAAGAATAGAACTAGGCATAATGACGCCGGCCAGTGAACGAAAATGCGAGCCTTGTCGCTTAGTCCAGCTTGTATGCCCTGAGTCTGTCCATGGCTATTTACAAACTCGGTCTTGGTCCTCTGCCGCCCTTGACTTTAACGTCTCAACCCAGTAGGCAGGACAACTAACGATTGTCTGCGCTGGAGTGCACCGCATACTCGAAAGAAGTCAGACGAGTAGACATGTTTGCGCATTACTATCGACCAAAGGGATCGAGGCAATAGGGTCATCAGATTACATAGTTTTCTCGCTATGGTAGGAAGACTAAGATCCAGAGAAGTGTGTTAGTCTATGCACGATCGAGAGCCGCCTGTGAGGATTCCGCACGGGTCCTAGTACATGCAGGAGGAGCGAGAGTCAGAACGAGCACAGTGAAATTGCGGAGATCTTACCGATACATTCGCCGAGCATAAACGACGTCATGCTTAACCCGATGCATAAGGCGTCGTATGTAGAGCATGACAGCAATCGTGATGGTCACCAGCACGAAGACTACAACACCAGAGAGAATTCGATCTAATTGTCTCTCGTTACCTTCATGAAAATATTCATTTCGTCAGTCATGCATACAGGAAAATTTCTAGAGGAGGGCTCACCTGCCTCTACCTTTTCCAGGACATCCCCAATGTAAATAAAGGCAGCTTGTCTTGGGAGGGATAGCAATACAGCTAACACGAAGAGGAAGAAGTTCATCCCGCAGGTAGTGAATATAGGTGTGAACACTATAAGCAGTTGAGGGTCAATATGTGACAAATGTTCTTGACTGGAGACATCTACTGACGGTGTCCTGGGATTACAGTGTACCTTGTCAGGAGGGCGATTTTGAAGCTTCCGGCTCGAACGACTTTGGCAAAGCACGCATAACGAATATGCTTCTCCTCAAATTTAGATGCCCTGACCATACAGCAGTACCGGAAAGCGCTAATAAGAGTGCGAGTCAGTGAATATCACTAGCGAGAAAGTAATAGTCAAAGAAACGTACAGGAAACTGCAAATCTCGCCCAGAATAGTGCCAGCTGCCGTGACACCAATTCCGATCCAGAATCCCCAAATGATGCCAATAAGAATATATGCTAGCTCTTGACCCATAAGCTGCGAATAGGTATCCATAAGTCTACTGTACTTATTAAGTTGTGTATCGACGTACTGGTGGGAATGCTATGACGAACAGGATAGCAATGGGTATCAGCCATCCCGCGCTCATACTGGCACCAGATAGTTGTCAATTGGTTTGAACAGTGATACTGGGTGGGCAACTGTGAACTCACTCACGCAGATGCCGTGCCGTAGGATTGAGAGCGTGCACAATTTTTTTGTTATATCGCGCACCAAGAACTACTAAAGCAATGCTCATGACAAACATAACGTAGTTCACTAAAACACCATGAGAATCTGATTTCACAAAAAACAAAAAATAACTGGTGCACCGACCCAGTTTATTCCTTTCGAACCAATACTGCCACGTCTTCATGCGATGCCAATCAATAAGGCGATTGTTATTGAGGAAAGCAGTTTCCGACGGAGTGGGTGATGGTGTACGTCCACCGGAGCGGTCAGGGACATGGACATTATCTGTTTCTGTGGTGACTGATGCTTTCGATTTTTGCGTGAACGAATCGGCGGGAGCGTTATTTGTTAGCGGCTGAAGTCTAACGTAGTCCTGGTTGTAAACTATCAAGTTTGAAAAGAAGCAATGTTGTAAAAATCAACAAATTATACACAGAAAACAATTTTGTACGCTTACCTCCGCTCTGGCTTCCTGTTTGGTCTGTGGGTCCGATCATTTTTCCTTGTTCTTTTTCTTAGTCGATTTCTAGCAAGGATTCGAGACTTATATGCATGTCGAGCCTCTGTGCGTCCGCCATTGTCTGCGTTCGGTCTCGTATTCCGGACATCGTAGAAATGTGCGCTTTCGGTGCCCGTAGACCATTTCACGAAGAGACGAAGAGACGAAGCTCGCGCCGCAGCCTCCAGTTCGGCTGAGCGCGTCGCAGCGTCTCATTTCTTCGCTTCGATGATCGTCGGCTTTTCTTGGCTGTATGCACGTCCCTTCACAGCCTTCGACTGCGATCAACTAGTCGTTCCGGTCTATGCGGAACGGCGTAGCTGTAAAGTAATACGGTCTGCTGGGCTTCTCGTAGCAATTCATGGAAGGGTCTTGAACAACAATATTGAAGATTCAGACATAGAAGTTCAGAAAATCAGAGCCGGTTGTGCTCAGCCTTAGTTAGTCTTGTCCTTATTATAGTACACATGAGAATCTCTCTTCTAATAGTGACCGATCCGATACAAGGTTCGTCGCTATTACAGATTGCGGCGTTGCAATGAACTATACGTGTTAAGATAGTCCAACCGGAGCTACCGGGAGAGTCGGGGCCCTTGTGCTAATACTGCTTACCATGCAAAGGCAGTGAAACGCAGTTGCAGATTGAAGTAGCGAGGAAGGCATGTGTACAGTGATAAGCCCGCAAACCGGGGAACTGCGGAGTGCGTAGATCGCATTTTATGGCTGCGTATTTGATCGAGGTTGAATTTGCGTTCGCCATTGACGAATGTATGCCCCAGGTCCGGTACGTATCTCAGCAGCTAGGCGAGGAACGACAGATAGGCCTGGAAGCTGGAAACAAAAGTGGCGCGCGAAGCATTGCACAAATCAAAGGAAACCAACCACGTGGTTTACAATACAATAGTTTGATTTGCACTTGGCAAGCATTATATTGTTTGCTTGCACGGAAAGTAAATGATCAATGTTCACACCACCTGTCTCAATCCGCTTTTATTTACTGTACTGAAGCGAAAACAGTCTTAGAAACACCGTGCTCTGTAATCATAAAAGCAGTAGTAGGATAATCGAGCAGTCCACATTCGGTAGTACGATACAATAGTTTGTGTATTGACGTCTAGTAACTGAAAAATGACATGCAAGTAATGATACATACACTATGAGCCACAAATTGATATCAGGACAACGAAACATTTCTAGTAGGAACCGGTTCTCGTATGAAACTCCCCTTTCGTATCGGCAACACCTCCAAATCACATATGTTAATTTCTTGCTTCTCTCGTCTTCTCAACAGTAAACTCCGCGAGCTCAGCTAGTGTGAGGGAATCTTCGCCAAGGAATGTCATTGGGACATCAACGTCATACTTCTTCTGTATGTCTGCGCGAAGTTGCGTAAAGGAAATCGAATCGATACCCAGCGACAATACCGGGGTGGATGAATCTGTACAAGCCGAACGAGTTAGTACTTGTTCATTGACAATGCATAAGAATGGGCTATTAACCAATGTTCTCCATGTCTGACGCGGTCATTCCCAGGACAGCTTGCAAACTTGTTGAAATGAACTTTTCGGCGTCCTTTGAAGTTACTTCTTCGACGGCCACAAGCGTGTCTTGTTCTGAACCAGATGGATCCGACGATTCGGAACTGTTTTGCTCCTTTGCCTTGTCAACGATGAATTCCGCCAACTCGCCTAGCGAAAGAGACTCTTCGCCGAGGAAAGACATCGGTAGGTCGACTTCATACTTTCCAGCCACATCTGCGCGGAGTTGTGTGAAGGAGATAGAGTCAATACCGAGTGACAATACCGGCGTTGACGAGTCTACCAATGAAGACAGTTAGCTCGTGTCATCACCAGCACTGGTGAAACTTACCGAGATTGCCTACATCATCCGAGGTGAGCCCGAGTATGTTCTGCAGACTGCCAGTCAAGAATTTCTCGACAGCAGGTACAGCAACCTGAGTTGCACGTTTAGTTGGACTTGCAGCGTTTGCCTTGGGAACAGAGTTCGTCGCCTCCTCCGGGGTAGCAGAGTTTATAATCGAAGCGTAGTACGGATCAGAAGAATACAATTCCTTGCTTCGTAGGAGACCGAAACGCGTCTTGGCTAGCAGCGACACTGTCGGCAATTGAGAATCTTCAAGTGCTGTCAGTAAGAGAGGAAGTCCATGGTCATAAGTCATAGCAGGGGCTACAGCCAACCCGCTGACAAGCTGCTCTGACGCCGCTTGAGACTCCCACACTCCGAGCTGTATCGAGTACGATTTACGTGACGATATAAAAGAGCGGTATGCAGCGAGTCCATCCATAAATGCGTCCACAGCAATGAGCGATAGGTTCGCGGGTTTCCCAAGAGTTGCGCTTCAAGAAGTGTCACCACAGGCTGATCTCAGACGAGAAGAGGTAAGCTTACCTTATACTACTAAGCATTACGAAGCGTTCCACATCAATCTTTAATTCTTCACAAGCTTGATGCAAATTCCAAGCGCCCATGGCTCCTACTTTGATGGCAGACCCGAGCTCCTGCTGGCTGACTGCCGCGATGGCATTGCTTTTGAATGCTCCATTCGCAAGCAGTATTGAATGAATTGACCCATATCTGTCGTTGATAGACCGTATTGCATCACGAACTGCCTCGTAAGACTCAATTTTGGCCTGCACGTAGTCAAACTCAACGCCTTCCACTTCTAAGTTGATAAGCGTGGATGCGACCTATGAAATGATTAGTAGAGTTTGAAGATTCTGGGAGGGATCATGCTCACCTCAATATCCTCCCTGCTCTTCTTATCGACGAAAACGACATTCGACCAGCCACGTCTCTCGACCATGTGCTTAGCAAGGGCAATGGTAGTGTCAACCATCCCTACGATAACAGTACAGTTCCTCTTGTTTACGGAAACACCTTTTGGAGGAGGAACCCAGAAACCATCCTCAATTAGCTGTGGCTCCAAGCGGAGAGACTGACGTTCAGTCGAGAACCGGTACGCAATTTGAGAGCTTTTCTGACGAGGAGAGCTCGCGAGCTCGCGAAGTACGAGAGAGCATGCATCCTCAGGCGAGATTTCGTAAGCAAGGTCAACACCGAAAACAGCTTGTGATGCTGTCTCCTGACGTAACACTCGGGCCATGCCCTGGACAAAGTTACCCATGAGACAACCTGACCTGGGTGTAGACTTTGGAAGTGAGATGTTCAACAACGAGTCTGCGTCGTCAGGGGAAATCTGAAGCGCGTTTCGTGTGAGTATCAATGCAGAACGTATCTTCTCCGAGGAAAGGTAAGGCGCGATAGCTTTGACAAAGCTGAGAGCTGCTGATGCAGATTTGACTGCGTTCGCCTCGTTCATCTCATCTTCCGCGACAGATGTAGCATCATACACAACGTAGTATGAGCCGCTTTGTGACTTTAAGAAAGTGCTAATGTCGTCGACTACATGCACCTTTACCGAGTTATTCCTTGCATGCTCCGTCAGTGCGCCCTTTAGCTGACTAGATCCAACATAGACGAGTTCAGCGGTGCTCGGAACGGAGGACTGCGATTCAGACGTGAGCGACTTCTTCAACCATTTCGTCCGCACACGAGGCAAGCCGTCCTTCGGAGGAAGTGGACGCGAAACAATAGGCATTGAAGAGGGAACCCAGGACACAGAGTAACGAGAGCACGTAGCGAGGAGTTCTCCTGATTCAGAGATTACTTGGAGCTCTGCCGTCATTTTCTTCGAGTTTGGCGAGACATCAATGGGAAGACGATAGATGCACTTGATATGTTCGGGGAATGAGTCAGTGTGAATTGTCAACCCATTGACAGCAGACGGCAGGAATGCGCCTCCCGAGTTTAGTTCTGGCGGACTTTCTGGTGCGATGGCTCCAAACATGTGCAATATTGCATCCATCCTACGAACGAAGTCATGTTGAGAATTTCCAGATGATGCAACCCGGATTTCGCCAACGCAATGGTCCGCGTACACAGTGATTGACTGAATGCATTGGAAGCTTGGTCCAAATCGAACAAGATTATTGACGAACTTCTCGTATACGGCTTCCTTGCTCAAAGTATTGGCAGGATGACTGCTCTTGAATGATGCGGGTCCTTGTGGAGAAGCAGGGAGGAGGTTTCCGGAACAAACGATTCCTTTCTCGACTCCGGCCCGTTTGTGGACGCACGTGAAAGAGCTATCTCGAATTTCCAGTGTCAGAGTCTCTTGATCAGGATTCTCAAGCAGCAGAGGTTTGAGGAAACGCAGGTCAACGACAACGGGGCTTGATCGTGCCTTTCGCGCCTCAAGCGAGACAAAAGTAGCTAGAGCGGCGGCGGGAACAATGGGAACACCATCTACAGTGTGGTCCTTTTCGAGTAAAGGGCCGAGATCCTTCCCCACATCCCAAGTTCTGATGTATTCATTGGTCTGTTCTGTGCCTTTGATTTTGGTTGTTCGAGAGGGTACAATCGTAGGGTAGTGGCGTTGCCTCTGCCATGGGTATGTGGGGATGGCAACCTTTTGAGGCCTGTAACGTCGTCCAGCGAAAAACTCGCTGAAGTCAGGCGTAATACCTTGAGTATAGAGCGTCGCCATGGTCTGCATGAGCGGGTTCAAGGTGTTTGTACTGGGTCTATCGCATAGTGAGGTGATAGAAGGGGGTTTGGGGGAGCGAGTGCTTGCGTCCTTGAGCAAATGGGCGATCACATTTTGAGGGCCAACGTCGATGACCACAGTGGCATTGCCTTCATTAAGCATCGCTCGTGCAGCGTCTGCAAAGCGCACAGGATGACGCGCCTGCTTGACCTACATTGTATATTTAAGAATCATTACAATAGGAGATGAAAAAGAGCTCTTACCCAATAGCTGGCATCCAAGACCTCGCCAGTCTTGATGGCCCGGCCTTCAACACTCGAAAAATATGAAATGGTTGGCGCGCTAATATCCTCCGCATTATTTTCCATGTATTGACGAATAGGCGCCAACGATGGTTCGATACAGTGGCTGTGGAAACCTAACGGTCGATTTGAGTGCTGAAACTCGGTGTGATCATTGTTATACAGAGCAGACCATACCTTGATTCACCGAAAGAACGGTACCCTTAATCGATTTCTTCGCTAGGTCATCTACAAGAGTTCGAACGGCCTGTTCTTCACCGGAGACTACGTGCTGCGTGTCAGAATTGTATGCAGCAATAGTAACCAAATCGGAAATGCCCAATGCAGAGATGCGCTTCTTAATTGGGTCTGCAGGCGCACGAATAGCTGCCATGAGTCCGCCATTGGTTCGTTCTGGGCGCATAGCGTTTGAGCGAGCGACGACGAATTCGAGTGCAGTACTAAATTCCATACATCCAGCAGTGACTAGTAACGAGAAGTGAGTATATACCAGCAACAGACAGTGTTAATACGAACCTGCGGCAGCTATCTCTCCAAGACTGTGTGTGACAATTACATTTGGCTGAATACCAATGTGAGCCAGCCATTTGACCACGGCACATTCAAAGACAAAGATACACGACTGGGAGATATGCGTCTCGTTGATGACGCTTGTGGCACTTTCGGAGGCTTTTGCGTAGTCAAACAGCAGAGGGGGTAAATCAACGCCGAGTAACTCAGATGCCTGCTCGGCATATTCAAGGAGATAACCTGCGAACACTTTATCCACGTCACTCCATGCTCGGCCCATACCTTGCCATTGGCTGCCTTGACCCGGGAAGGCGAATGCAATTCGAGGCTTCGAGGGAATTGCTGAAAATGGCTTCTTTTCAGCAGACGATAATGCGTCATTGAGATGACCAAGGAGCTCCTTCAATGAAGTGCAAGTGCAAGCAAATCGGAATCGGTAATGCTCGCGACCGACGCAGGATGTGTAACAGATGTTGGCGAGATCTGACTCGTCAGCTTGAGAACAGTAGTTGACATAGCTGCGCAAATACTCTTGGAGAGCTTTCTCTGTCTTCGCGCTCACAACAAAAAGATGAGGCACAGATCGTGAAAGCGCTTCTGCGGCATTAGACTGGGCTGGTTTTTCGGGCTGGTATTCTTCCAAAACGGCTGCCGCAATGGTACCCGCAAAACCAAAGGATCTTTGAACACACTGAGTTAATGTCCGAAGGCATTAATAGATTCAGACTTACAGAGTAAGTGCTCGAAGAGGGACACCCTCTGCCCTCCTTTGCAACTGGGTCTCAAGATGGGATATCCGCAGTGGAGTTACAGTCGTATCCAGTCTTGGGCTGAGGTTCTCGCCGTTCAAATGCGCAAGCCCAGGAACGACGAAATGCTGCAGCGTCTGAAGGGTTTTTGCCACACCGACAAGTCCCGCGGTACTCTCGGTGTGTCCGAAAACCGTTTTCGCAGCCCCGAGGACAAGAGGAGACTCATTGGTGTGCGTGCCGCCGAAGACTTCATTTATAGCCTGGATCTCCATCTGATCTCCGAGAATAGTTCCCGTACCGTGATTTTCGATGAAGCTGACAATCATATACAGAATCAATTGTAAAGAAATTTGATTCGCCAAAGAGCAATTTACTTACTCAATATCCTTTGCTGCAATGCCTGCGGCGCGTAGGGCTGTCTGCTGAAGCTTAACCTGTGCCTTCGAGTTTGGTGCAACGAGACCTTGCGAGCGGCCATTGTGTTGTACCGAGGTTGATTTCACTACACCAATAATTCTGTCGCCATCACGCAGGGCGGCACGCTTGCTCTTCACGATGAAAGCCATAGCACCTTCAGACGGTACATAACCATCAGCATCCTTGCTGAACGTTGCACAACGCCCATGTAAGGAGCTCATCTGGTTCGCTGAGAGGAAGCCAAAGTTTCCGGGCCTGCCAAATAAGAATTAGGAAGTGGTGGTATAAATAAGTCAACAGCTCGTACCAAACATGCACATTCACTGAGGCAACAATTGCTGATTCGCTTTGACCATACCGAATGGACATGAGAGCTAGCATACTAAATGTTAGGAGTGCTTATTACACGGGTTTAAATCGCGTACCATTATCAAGGGCAACAAGGCCACCACTGCACGCTGTGTTTAAAGTCACGGAAGGCCCATGAATGTCCAGGAAGCTATCTCACATGAGATATCTCGCTTATATTCTGCTATGAACGTAAGAAACTTACTAAGAAAGCCTCCCAGATATTGCGCTGTCCGCAACTCCAGTGCCATAATACCGGTCATAGACTTTGTTGAAACAATAGAATTAGTAAGATGAACCGACTCGCGAGCTTTGTTGAAACTTACCCTCAAAACCTTTTTCAGTGTAGATCAGATCGGGGTATCCGAACTCTGGCCCTTGTGCAACGAATACTCCCATATTTCCGCCTTTTATCGTGTTCAAGGGAATGTTCGCGTCTTCCAAAGCTTCAACGGCGACTTCCATTGCAACACGCGCACCTGGTGTCACGAAGTACGCCTCGGCTGGGCTGATGCCGAAGAATGCGTTATCGTAACTCGCAACCTGGACATCATAAGAGAATGTTAGATAGTTTTCAATTATCAAAGGGAGGACCTACTTCAATCCTGCCCATCTGAGTGAAGTTTATCATCCCTGGTGGCGGCTTTGACGGAGGATTCGTTGGTGGATGATAGAACGACGAATGGTCCCAGCGATCGTTACCCATGTGCTCGAGGACTTGCTTTTTATGCACGAGGGCATCCCAGAAAGCACTGGCAGTATTCACCTTTCCCGGAAGGCGCAAGGCTTGACCAACGATGACAACATCGAGGTCATCATTTCCTTGTGCGTAGTGTGCTCCAGAAAGTTGATTTGACACGGTTAGAGACGAAGCGTTAAGCTTCTCGAATATAACCTGCGAAAGCGCGGCAAGGTCAACATAGTCGTGACATGCACTTATAGGAAGATCGAGAGCGAAGCGGTTATTTAGCTTCGACACAATCCGCGTCGCCATGTTGGAATCCATCCCAAGCTCAGCAAACGAGGCATCCCCATTCTCATCAATAAGCGACTTTGGAATGCCCAGTCCCTCCGCAACGATCTGCGCCACCTCTGCTTCAACCTGCTCAAGCGTCTTCACGTCCTTCTTCGCTGAACGCGATTTCCTCTCGCCACTGAATTTTGACAACTTCGAGTTGCTCAATAGCTCATTAAGCCTCTTCCCGAACCGCTCCTCAAGTGCCTTTCTCCATATCAGCCCCTTTCGTGTCATAGGAATAGTCTCTCCCTGATCAAGAACAAGCACACGAGATACAGGAACTCGCAGCGGTGGATGTAAGCCCTTGTTCACCTGTGTGAAGGCTCGCATCACCTCTCGTGCGTCGAATCCGCTTTCCGGAACCTCTACAATAGCGCAAACATAATCGGCTGCGCCGCGCAAGAAGTTGTTGCCGACAAGTGCAGTTCGTGCGATTGCCGGACTTGCCAAAAGTTCACGCTCAGGTCCGCGAGGGTCAAGGATCTCTGCAGATCCAAGTTGAATATAGTCTTCCTTGCGACCCTCCCAGATGAGGCAGCCATCTTTCTGCGAATAGATGTCACCAGTCTGGAAGGCGGTAATTCCAGTTTCGGGATCGTAGGAGTGAGCAGCTGATTTGAAGTTACGATAGCCACGAGCAATATATGCTGAAGAAATGACGAGTTCGCCATCTGTACCCAGCGATCAGTAATGAAAGAGACGTTAGGAAGGCCGATACACTCACAAGTACTATTTTCGTTACCATCCTCATCGATAAGTGTCAGCTTGGCATTCTTGACCAGAGCTTCTGCGACAGGGTATCCGCCCTCCGCCATCGTCTTGACATCCACCTCGAATAGAGCACCGCCAATTTCCGTCATGCCCAAGCTAACATCCATCTTGAACCCTTGTTCATCTGACCACTTCTGAACGTCTGGATCTGTAAGAGCACCACCGCTTAAAAGTTGGCGACATCCCTTGAGGAGCTCAAGGTACTCGGGATGAGCTTCACAAGCAGTCATAATTCGCTTATAAAGCCATGGTACACCACTAATCATGTCTGCGTTCGCGCGTTTGGCTGTCTTCAAGAGCATCATACCGACATCGTATTCAACGCCGTTAGGAGAGGCAGTATCTTGAGGGACCACAGGATATGTAGACGGCGGGACCGCAAAAATGTAGCACCCAACGGGAAGGGCGATGTGGCACGTAAAATCATGTGCAAGGGACATGATATGGCTAAATGGGCCCCATCCCAGGACACGGAAACGTTCTGGAGGACTGGCTGCGTAAAGCTCTTGCGTGATCCCTCTCCGAACACGCCATGTGGCAAGCTCTAGTTCGGCATTGCTGAAGAGCATTCCATGGTGGATGGCCACGCACTTTAGATTGGCAGTCGAGGAAGCGGAAGACGTGTAGAGGTAAAGTGCATCATCAGAAGGAGAGGAGAGAGTAGCGAGATCAATGGAGGGTTTGCTGGTTGCATACTTCTTGAGAAGCGTCGGAATACCGGAGTTGGATGGTGTGAACGGTAAGGCTTTGAGTCCCAAACCTAAACTGGACGTCAGGGAAAGAAACGACACGGTATTGAAAACAATTACTGACCAGTAACGAGTTTTACGTTTCCCTCAGATGTCTCTGGCAATATGACACAACTTGGGCGAATGCCCTCAAGCATTCCCTTAAGAAGCGCCTCAGGCGCATGGAAATCTAACGGCGCTGCGACGCCTCCGAGCAGCCAGACCGCGAGAATCACAGCCAATACGTACGGGTTGTTGTCACTGACGATGGAGACAATAGGTTTCTCACCGAACTTCGAGCGAAGTTCCTTGGAAATGCCGCGCGCGATTGCAAGCAGCTGGGCGTAGGTGAGCGTATCACCACAGCAGTCGATGACTTGCGCATCTGCAGTGTCTGGAGCTGTCGCGACTTCGACAAATCTATGAATGACGGTATCTTGCTGGTGGGCGTCCATGCCAGCCATAGTGAAAGGAGTGAAAAGTCCGCCGCAGTGTGTACGAAGGCATTTATCCCAATGCCCAGGACTATAAGTCTATTCCGGAAGTAAATGCGACCTTTCTGTGAGATGCGGCCGTAAGTGTTCCAAACATAGCGGTCGGCATCGCCGAGAAGCGCTAACAGGCACAGCACATGAATAAGGACAGGAAGAGCATTCGCCGCAACTTATTATGAGTTACAAATGATGCGTCAGGTTGCGCGATCAAGGGCGGCAAGCGACCGCAAACGCTGGACCTTGCGGACGCCATGCCGCGACATCTGAGTACAGGTATTGAGCGAATCAGCGCTATGCAGGGCGGCACTATCTTCCGAGTCGGTGTGCACTTAGATTAGCCGTGTCAATTCACACGAGGCCATTGCTGTGAAAAGCTTTTCTTGACTTTCGTTTGAGAACTTGAAGGGGCGGAACGGACAACTTGCGCAGAGTCATCAGACTGACGGCGCGTCCGCTTAAGGCGTGTCAGTTCCCGCGGGCTTTGTCATCACTCGCTTCCTTCCTGTCCTGAAGCCTCTCTGTGTGGCAGTGTGAGCAACTTGACACAGGACAGACTAAATTCGCCATGAAGGTTGTCAAATTGTACTAGATCGCCATGTGTGAGTATGTGCTAAATCTTCTATACATCTCCAGTTGCACCTAGCGTTGTAATACAAATCTAAATTGCACGCAATCAAGCATTTGAAACATTCCCAACCCTTGCTCCTGAATTGTAATTCTCAACAAACCAGTCGACCGTTCCTTGCAAGGCTGGTTCATTGAAAGTTAGCATATGCAGCACCAATTCCGAGTTAGTGCACGCCAATGCAACTGTACCTTGATCAAATGGAGTGAACGAGAATTTTACTCCGGCCTGCTCCAGCAACGTAGTAAGTTTTACATTTGAGGCTGGCTTGCGGAACTGCCCGTCTGACGCTTCACGATTCCACTAAACGGATATTAGCACCGGAGAATAAAACAACGAGAGAAAGTCTACCTCAATTTTGACCTTGAACGGCTGCACGGATGAATCGGACGCGCGACGGGTCTCTCGGTTCCGCTCAAGGGCACGCACGACACTATTCACGACAAATTCGATGCTGACTTCCTGCTCCTCCGGTACTTTTCCCGGAGTTCATGTCATTGAACCCACGGTCAGCATATATTTAGAGACTGTACCTGAGAGTATGAGCGGATCGACCTCGTCATAATTCCTCAACATCCAGATCATCAGCTTCGCGAGATCGCGAGAATAGATGAATTGGCGTAGAGGTTTTCCACTTCCGGACGGTCGAAAAACGGTACCATTCTCTAGAGCGCCAAAGACATCAGTTGCGTCAAAGGACTTTGCATACCAGCGCCGCACTTTCTGCGATATAGCATTTGTGAATCAGGCCAGGTATGACGTGTGAATCTTGTAAGTCGCTAAAATAAATGGTCAGTGGCTTAATAAGTATTTTGCATAAGCTAACACACAAGTTGTCATACTCTCCGAAGACATTGGTCGGGATTGCAGATGTGAAGTTGCACCCAAATTCCTGCTTGTATGCGCTGCACGCGACACAATGACGATTACACTATAATTAGTCACGTACAGCCATTAAAAGTGATGCGACAAACCGATTCTGCACGTCAACAAGCCGCTTCGCATGCGCGTAACCAAAGTTACTCGGGTGCGGAGGACCAAGGTGGACTTTTGTCTCCGTAAGCGGATAGATGTCCTTCACCTCCTTCTCGTCTGCGAAGACGCATGTTGACAGGCACGAGACAACCTTGGAAGCGTTATACAAGTGAGAGCAGTGCAGAACGTTGTCGTTGATTAACACGTTTTCTCGAAGGAAGGTCAGCTGCGACGCGGGATGCGATTAGGTACGTAAAGAGCAAAGGAACACGGAAACGACAGACATTATGAGCCATATTCTTGAATAGTCCTCCGACTACAGGGTTAATAAAAATGGATTATTTGCAAAGGTCACATAGAGTTGTGAGTGCACTGGAACCAACCTATTGCAGCAAGATGGATTATATGCGTCGGCCTATGTTTCTCAAAGAGCTTCTTTGTCGCGTCCATGTTCCTGTGCAACGATAAATAACTTCCCTGTTATTCGAACAAGTCATGTACCTAAGATCTGCATCCTTCGAGCTGACGAAGACCCAGGTCTCGTCAGGTGCAGCACGGAACGTTGGGTCGCCATTGGGATCATTGACGACGTGCTGAATGGCTTGCCCAACAAGACCATTACCACCGGTGACAAGAATGACTTTGGACATTGCCTCGGATGGAAGTGGAACGGAAGAGAGTAGCTATGCGATGTGCAATCGCAGGTGGTAATTATGAGGCAAAGAGCCGAAGACACGCTTTAAAAAGATCTGAACCAGTGCACGTGTGAATGACTAAGCCAAAAAAGCAATCTATTCTTTTAATAATCCAAGACAGCATTATATCATATCAATTCACGGCAGCAGATATTTCAGAAACCATAAAACTCTACAAGGACAAGCTCTATCAAAAGTGTGATTAATCGTCGTCTGAGTCGCCATCCTCGTCTCTACTCCCTGGTCTAAAGAGCGCCATGAGGTCGTCAAGGCCGAGGCGCGAATTCTTGAGTTTATCTCCGCTCAAAGCTGCTGCTGCTAGCTCCCGCTTCTTCTCTTGCAGTGCAAGAATGCGCTCCTCCACCGTCTGCTCGATCGTCAGTTTGTAGATATTGACTGTCCGAGTCTGGCCGAACCGATGAGCCCGGTCAAATGCTTGTTCCTGTGTTTTATGACATGATAAGCAAAGACAATTTAATCAGGGAATGCTGACAGTCACCTCAAGGGCAGGGTTCCACCACAAGTCCACTAAGATGACATTGTTACATGCCGTGAGGTTAAGGCCTAAGAGGGGTGAGTTCGTTGACTATGGCAGATAAACGTTTACGTTTGTACAAACCAGTACTTCCAGCTTTGAAGGAAATGAGGATGACAGTGGTCGATTTATCCTCACGAATCTTTTGGAGACTAGCATCACGTTGATCCTTTCTCATTGTCCCATCATCTATAAAGGTGTGAATACGCTTTACCTTAGAAAATACCGTGATAAATAACTGACATCTCGCGAATCTTAGACCCTCATTACGGAGGAATGGCTCAATCAAATCCAGCATCGACGTGAACTGGGAAAAGATAATAGTCTTTTCTCTGTCTGGGTGATCATGGATCGCTCGTAATATCCGTATGATTTCTCTAATCTTGGCCGAGTCTGGAGGGAGAGAACCGGCGCCTGAGGCGAGAGATTTGCGCCGTGATTTGCCCGCGATCGCTTCACAGTCAAGACAATAACGGCCACCCACTGAGTCTTCCGAGTTTTTCCTGTTAAGGCTGCATTTATGTTAGACACACTCACTACAGGAAACGAGACACCTCACACTTGTTGGCACAGTTGGCACTTTCGGGAAGACACGCCCATCTGGCCGAGGAGGTCTGCAAGATCGTCCGCATCGTCGAGGTCCTTACCGTCCTTCACACCCCGCGGATCCACGGCTTCCTTGTCTAGTGCGAAGTCTTTCGACAACAAAGAAGGATGATTGCAAGCTGTCATAATCGTTGTCACTCGAATGATTAACAAGCGACAACATAAAGCATCCATACCTTGTCTAAGTCGCAGCAACAACACCAATACTGAAGTATAGTTCCTCGCTATGTCGCCGGCCTGTTGGTACTTGTTAAGCGTCAATTCCACCTTGCTCGCAATTGACTCATAGAACTCCCGCTCGTCGGCGTCGAAAGCGCAAGGGATGATCTTGACAATGCGATCTGGCAGTTCGAGCAACTGCTTTCCATTCAGCACCGAGTCTTTTCTACGCCGCAACATGATTGCCTTCAAGACCACCTTGGAGAGATATGATGAGCCTGTTGACAGTGACAGCTATACGAAATTCAACAAGTACCTGCAAGCGTTTCATCGCTCGGGTGGATCTCCCCAATTTGACTGGCTTATTGATTTGATTGTTGAATATCTCCCAATCATTCAGAGGTCGGATCCTAAGGAAGTTTAAAAGAGAATATAGTTCTTCGACATTGTTTTGCCTACAAAAAAGTCAAAACGTGTTCACATTGTCCAGGCGATAAGTCAAGCTTACAGGGGTGTTCCAGTCAGAGCCCACCGATATTTACCCTCTAGGGCACAGCATGCTATCGCTGCTTTAGTCTTGCGGTTCTTGATATTATGCGCCTCATCTAAGAACAGGTCGCTATTTGTGAGACTTCGCGTACCTACCTGAGACTCGCGACAGACCTAGAACAATTCGCCACCATTTTATACGGAACAAAGCATCCTTTCCTCTTGCCTTCCCTTTGCCGACAGACCGTTTACGAATGATATCATCAGAGCTGTCACTTTCTTCCGAGGAGCCTCCACCACCTTTCCTTGGTTTTCCTTCCGCATTCTGATACACCCCGTACTCTGAGGACAGGACACTGTACGATGTTATCTTTGTTTAATCAAATGAGCCCTATTAAAGAATAACTAGCAGACAGACGGGACGTACGACAACATGGGCCCTCTTTAACGTCTCGGGATCTAAAAAGTAACTAGTTCACCTTAAATACAAGAAAGTGAAATGGAGATGACGCACTAGTCGTTCGAGAAGGTCCGTGGTGTTCAATAACACGCAAACCTACGGCCATTTTCTGAATTTCAGAGGCCCATTGTGATACCAGAGCAACAGGACAAACGACGCTATAGGGCAATCTCTTTTCAGAATGTAGTTTAATGAGTAAAATAAAATATAACTGACATGGTTGACGCGCTATACCCTGAACCTTTATCAGACTTACGCGGTCGTCCATCAAGTATTCGAGTAAGAGCCTGGATTGTCTTGCCTAACCTAGACAGAAACGTTCAACTTTTTGGGAAACCTATACAGCTTAGGCTTACCCCATGTCATCAGCAAGAATACCTCCCGCTTTCTTCCCGCTTTCACGATCTGCCATCCATTTGCGTCCGATAACCTGGTGAGGCAGAAGTTTGATATTCTCTTGAAATCCGTCAACAACAGCATCTTTCATATCAATATCGACAACTGCTTCATTCATGCTAGACGAAAGTAGTTCTTGAAGATCGCGTTCGGCTTCTGCAGCGGTCTTTTGGGGATCGAACAGGTGGTCTACAGCAGGCTCGTCAAATGTCTCCCATAGTGGACCTGATTTTTGCATGGGACGCAGCTGTGCTACGTTTGCATTTGCCGGAGGATAAATAATAGTAGGAGGTCGCTTAAAAGGTACTGGATCTACTTTCTTCTCCATCACTATAGGAGGCTTGAAACTAGCAAGGCGAAGGGGTGTAAAGTATTAGTCAGTGAAATATTCCGGAACAACTCACGGTTCCTCGTCTTCATCATCAGACCACACTAAGCGCTTTACATTGACTCTACCGCTCTTGGATGGCATACGAGGCTTGTCGTCTGAGTTGTCGCTATCACTGCCTTCCACTACCACAACATTGTTCGAGGACGATACAAGATCTGTTTTGTCCGTACGAGAGGATGCCTCCACTGGGCTAGAATCGGTTGATGATACAGTCTAAAACACTTGTCTATGAGTGCAGGAAGAGTTTACAGGTACATCCAAACGGACTATGACCGAGTGGGGTGAGGATACCGTGACTGGTTTGAGGACTCGATGTGGCTGACGCGACTTTGGAATGAAGGGTGCAGCGGACCCTGTCAGCTGTTTACGCCTACAGTCTGCGTGAGCAGAAGCTTTCAGGGAGCCAGAGACCAATACATACAACTCTTCCATGATGTCTTTCTTTGAACTGGGAATATGGTTTATAGCCAAGTCATGAAGCGCTTAGCGTTGGAGGGCTGGAATTGCAAGGCCTTACGTCACATGATCGTTGGAGCAATGACACCTTGAGGCGCGTCGCGACGCGAAATTACATAATAAACTTAGAATTACATAAAAATACAAAAACTGAACGGGCCAAACACTTCATTTACAGAAATCTACTATCATTCCGAATAACACGAAAATCGCAACATAAATAAATAAATATCGTTGTGCATAATGTCTTCACATATACACATCATGAAGTAGAGCAACGGCGAACAGACAGCACGAATTACAGATCAGTGTTCCAGTCGGGCAACCGTGCCTTCAGGTAATGAGTAAGTAAACTGATTAATGGGATTCAGAATATGCATAAAATACACAAGAGCCGCAGCTAGCTCATGACTGATCTGGATCTGGATTGGATTGGAGCTCCCAAGGTTTCCTTCGTGGTTTTTCCTTCGACTCGCTTGGCCTGTCATCCTAAACAAGAACATCAGTTAAATGCCATCGCCGGATCATCGTTTGGATCAACAGAACGCATACATTAACACCTCCAGATATCGATTCGTTGTTCGGTATGAGATGTGTCCGGTCGGACTCTATTAACGCCGTGATCTCTGTGAACGACAGTACACGACTCTCATTCTGTGCAACGTCGTTAGGGCCAGGAATATTCCCTGCGTGGTCCTCGCTGGACTTGCGCTCAGTCGCATTCCGCACATCATCCCAGGATATTTGGTGTCCAGTAACGCTAGCATGTGTATTAGACAGGAGTTCCCACTACAAGACGTGAGTGAACAAACGAGGAGAAATAAAATGCCTTCGCACGACCAATTACATCCTCTCGGCCTTCTGAGTCTGAACCATCCGCACACGCAGCATTCAGTATGCTCGTAAGCCCATCCTGGTTAATTTAGATAAGACAGTGTAATAACAAAACATAATTCATGGGACACCTGAAATGCCTGGTCCGAATGAAAGGGATAGGCAGCGAACTCCTCCAGAGAGGAGGTTTCAGCCATTTTACTCGGATGAGTTCATGACAAACGTCCCATTGACACTGGACAGGCCTGACTTCCGGGTTCACATGATTATGTAAACTAAATTCCCTTCAATGAATTCAGTGCCCTTTCGCTCTGATTGATCTAGTAGAACACATAAATGTTATTTACCATCCCGCCCGAGCTCCTACTCCGGGTCCTTGAGCTAGTTCTAGACCAGAGTCCTCGAGATCCCATTCCACTCCTTCTGGTCAACTCTCAATTCCATAGGTTTTGTCTGCTTCTTCTCCATGCTGAACTACGCTTCACATCAATTCGTCAGCTCGACTTATTCCTCAAGACTTGCCATACTCTTGTCATCCGCCCCCGAGAACTGCATATTACATTAGCTGGTGGGACAGCCGATTTTCGGCTTTTCAAACTCTTTCGCGACGTCCTTATCAGAATATCGACTATTGCTACAAAGTCCCTGGTAGAACAAGAAGTCGAACGAAAAGACCATTTACAGCCAGCATTACCCTCCAAGCGTGTACTGAGGCTGAGGCGTATACAGTTGTGCCTGAACTCGCATGTTGTTGATGCAAACTGTCCGTTGTTGTCTGAAGCTGTTGCTCTGACAAAGTACGTCGTTTCCATTGAAGGGATGAGACCGTCCTATCCTTTTGTTACTTACTTAGAATTTTGGAAAGCCCAGAAGAGTTCATATGGACCGGCCCAGACCCAGCGCATCATTTCTCCCTCGCAGTAAGTAGGGATTCTCGTGTCAATGAATCGCAGTATGTCAAATGCTCACCAGTCCATAATAGATTGTCCCAATCGCTGCAATGTATCTTTTCAAGACGATGCACGGGTGGTCGAATCTTCGACACCTTAAACTAACCAATCTAGCATTCCCTCAGCATTTGCAAGAGGCCCCTAAATACCCGCTAGCTGAAGCACTAGGTGTATCCATTGTTAAGGGGAGTTTTGGGCGAACAGTGGCTTCCGAAGATACGGATACGTCGAATATGAAGAACGTCACGACCCCGTCCATGCCCTATCTCCAGTCAATCTATCTCGGACAAGTCACTTTTCTAAAACCATCTGAGGTCGTTCTGATTGCCTGCTCATCCGAACTTACTTCCCTCACGTCTCTACGTGTTATCGACGCATACCAAGAAAGCATATGGGGACCGCGCGTTAGGATTGCTGACGTCGAAAGGGCTTTAATGTCCCTATTCCAAATGCCAGATCAAGGCCGCAATTCTGACAGTTTCGATGTGCATCACGTCAATTACAGGAAATACATTGAGCGTGTGAGGATGATTGTCTTTTGCGGGTCATTGACGGAACGACTAATGGGAGGAGACCGGATGGATATCGATGCTTATTAGTTAGAGCAAGAATTTATGCGATATTGAAAACACTTGATACAGATAAGACGAAAGAAAGATGCAGTGTGAAGAGAGAAAAATCTGAATGGAGCAAGGAATGGTTTGTTTCCATTAATCGTCATCGCTATCACTATCCACCTCGACCTGTTTAAACAACCGTGTAGGCTTACAGCTTGACCAGCAAAATGATTAGTAACTCACAACTTTCTGCATCCTGCCGCGTGCAGCGGTGGCCGCGGTCCGTGCAGTTCGACCTCTTCCAGCTCCAGAAGGCGCAAAGCTCAAAGTACCCTGTTTCGATTTTGCACCTGACTGTGATGCAGCTGGTTTTCGCGCTGTGGTCTTTTTCGCGTTCGAAGTTTGACTGTAGACAAATGACTCAGTACTTATGTACCCTGCAAGCTCCCAAACAAAAAAACGTACCTAAGAACAGCTGCTCGACTCGTTTTCTTCGGTGACGCCTTTGGTTCCTCTTCTGCATTGTCGAGGTCATCATCCTCGTCGTCATCAGACTGCGAATATCTTCAATATCCTATTACAGCAGAGAATGCTTACACTCACCGATACCTTCTTGCCTTTCCCCTTTGCACGCGAAGTCTTCGCCGGCGCAGTCTTCTTTCCTTTCGTACCGGTAGTCTTTGTCGCTTTCTTAGGAACTGGTTCTTCAAACTCATCCTCATCGTCCTCGTCCAAATCCATCATCATTGAATCGACTGACTCGGCATCAGATGCCGCAGCCTTCTGACCCTTCTACAAACGACATGAGGAAATCAGGTTAATTACTGGAATTCGAAAGTTACCTTCGATTTTGCAGGTGTTCCTCCCTTTTGTTTTTCCTTGTATTCCTCTTCATGTTTCTTCCGGGCTTCCTGTACCTATACGCACCACGATGTAAAAATCGTAAGATCACAATCGCGTTGCAAGCACTTACGGCACCATCCAGCTCTTCCTCTTCAATTTGTCCATTTGCCTGCACGCCTTTCATTAGGGCTCTCAAATTTGAGGACACATAGCTATTTCATGTCAGCCCGACCATGGCACAATTTTAACAAAGGACTCACGAGGAAATAGCATGGGGATCGTCCTTCTCAACAAATAACTGAATCGCATCACCCATGCCCACTTCACCAAGCAATTGCATCTCCTGACCAGCGAGATACTCCTTCACAAGGGTACCCACGCGCACTCTAGCCAGCTTTTCGCTGATGGGCATATCAGGGTCATCAATGCTCAGTTCTGGTTGATCAATGTCGTTCTTTGCTTTCGATCTCGAGGTAAACTTTTTGGATCGATGGAAGACAAGGACGTCCCGTGGATTGGCAATCCGGCCCTGGAATTCTTGACCAAAGCGAATTGGGTTTGACATTTCTGCTACGTCAGTCGTGTCGACCTGAAAATCGTGACGCAGTAGTGGTCACTATGCGAGGCACATTGGATGAATTAATTGACAGAGACAATACCTTTAATCGAATCAAGGGTAACATTGCAGGCAGCGCGTCCTCGCCTCTCTCCAGCGCTTGTGCATTCCGTTCCTCCCATTGGGAATTTGCTTTTTCAATTAGTTCGTTCACCTGCATAGCGGAAGAAAGGAATATTGGATAACCGTAAGTTGCTTGGAAAACTGTGAAACATACTTTTCTCTTCAAAAACTTGCTTACTTCGATTTGATCGGTCACGTCGAAACCTTCTTCCTCAGCTGCTTCAACGAGACAGACCTCGTCAATGACGAAAGGACGAACTGTCCGTAGAGGGAGTGGCTCCAGCTTGAACTCCGTCCCAAGGATTTTTAGCAACGCTACATGTCTGAAAAGGATTTAGTAACAAGTTAATTATGGCTCCGGGCCATCAGGACAGAGATATTGTAAATATACTTTTCAAGTGACTCGCCATCAGCCAAGGACGTTGCTACAGAAGAGCCTGGCTGGGTAATGTAATACTGCTTTCCCGCGACCGGTTCAGGTATAATGCGGCAGTCATGCTCATGTCCCCAGACTACAAGATTGATACTGTCATCAAACATGCCTTCGGGAACTGCTTCCTGAGGACCTCGTTTCACCCTGTAGACAGATTAATATTGGATAGAATCAGCAAGGGTAATCCTCCTAGTAGACGTACCTGTTTTGGTGCAACAGCAAGATATTGAACCACTCTTGCTTGTCTCTCGGCATAAACATCCTTACCCGGTTACTTCGTAGCTCAAAATGCATTCGAGCATCCTTGACATTGCCAATACCGTACAACCCGAGCCGAGTATCGCCTTTTTTCAGAAGCACAGGTTTAACAGCTATACCTGCAGTCTGCGCTTCAGCATCTGTCGTAGGAAGGTCGATTTTCCCCATGTAGTTGAGCAGGCCGGTCACGGAAAGTAGGTCCAATGCACAAAGAGCTCCTTCCTATGTCAACACAGAGAGAACCCTGGTTCAGCTTAAGGATATCAAAGAAACAGATGGATAACATTACAGGCCCTGCTCCTTGAGGGTCATCGTGGTTACCATGAATCGAAAAGACAGGAATGCCGACATTGAAATTCGGATCCTCGTAGTTCACAGCAGGGAAACTGGCGAGCTCGATCAGCTAGTCTAGCAGAATATAACACCATACCGCTCACGTGAAGCCTGTAGCTTTCCCTTCGTCTGGGTCACTGAGCAATTCGACCTGCACAGGTCTATCTCCCAGAGTGTGTTCTCTCAACAGTGCAATGACACGATATATACAGTCTCTCGAAGGCCTGTTCTCATGAAACAGGTCGCCTGCAAGAAGCACGAAGTCTACCTAAGACACGGATGTAAGCAAGATGTAAAATATAAAAGAAAGGCTAGCAGCTGACTTCATGCTTGACTGCAAGCTGAAGTATTTCTTCAAACGTATTGAAGGAGTCTCGACCTCTGACCGGATCACGCTCAAGATAGCCTATGTGATTGTCCGTTGCGAGCATGATTTTGATCGTGTCCTCTGGGTATTACAGTTTAGGCACAAGTGGCGATCCATAGAGTTCAGGACACAGAACAAAACAGCGGCCTTACCATCGCTCCAAGCAGAAGGGCCATTCTCAACCTCTTCAGGCATGTTTCTATCAGCCAACAAATAAAGAGCTGTGTATAAGCAGGACAGAGAGAGAGCAATCCGACGCAGCGCCTGACAGACGCGCAGCGTGACCCAGCGCGTGTGTGACCATATGTGTCACGCGTGTTTCATTGCCACTCGGGTACTGCGGACGGGCGCCCGGGAGTGATGCTGTGATAGTGATACCGACACCATACTTTGTCTCTCTCCTCCATCTCTCTCTCTCTCGTCGTCATGGCTCAGCAAAACATCCCAAGGCCTCCAGAGAGGCTCCTTGTCGTATGTTCTCCGCACTTATTTTGAAATCAAAGCTCAGGACGATTTTTATTTGAATCTTCCAGTTTGGAACGGTTTCTTTCTACATGGTTGCTGCTCTTTCAGTACGCCCTTTTCATTCGCTTCGTCCGCAAACCCTCACAGTGTTGACTATACTTTAGATGGTCATGGCGTAAATACTGCTTTGCAAATTTATACAAAATTTATGCTCACTAGATTCTACAGCAATAAATGGGTGCTGAACAAAACTGCGGTACCTCTGTTCTTCCTCCTTACCCAGCTCCTCATTGCTGTTTCCCTCTTCTCCGCCTGCCATGGTCTCGGCCTCCTCAAAGTCTCTTTCCATATCGACCTTGCACTCATTAAAGGTCTCGCTCCTATGATAATCCTCAATTGTATTGGACTCAGGTCTGTTCATGCTGTTTTTCAGTCCTGGATCCGACTAAACTTTCTTGAACGTGTAGCTTTAGTAACTTCACGCTCAAATACGTCGATGCCTCCTTCTATCAAGTTGCACGTGGGCTCGTCCTTCCTTTCACAGTCGCCACCTCCGCAATATTTCTCTCCGCACGTCCTTCACGAGCAATCCTCTTTGCCTGTGCGATCGTCACCACTGGCTTTTTCATCGGTGTTTTCCTCGACGGCGTCCATGTTAATGCAATTGGTGTCTTTTTCGGCGTTGCCAGCAGTGCTGTCACTGCATTACATGCGGTGGTCATCAAAAGGGCTATCAAGCTTCTAAATGATTCCGCGCTCGACCTATGCTGGTACACAAATCTGCTGAGCGCATGTGTATTAAGTGTTGTCGTGATACTGGCCGGTGAGGCTCCTGGAGTATCAAAGCTTGTCTTTGGAGATTCTGGTGTGCTGCGAACTTTCATTTGGGGTTCACTCATCACTGTAAGTTTTTTTCCGTCTGTGCGAAGCTATTTACTCAGATGTCTCATTTATGTCTTACGTCGTAGGGGTTGATTGGTTTCCTTATGGGCATCGCATCTACACTCTCCATTAAAATCACCTCGCCCATCACACACATGGTCTCTTCGGCAGTACGTGGTGTTGCCGCAACGTTTCTCGGCATGTGGTTCTTCTACGACGTAGTTACCAGGTGAGTCATCAACCTTTCCTTCTCCAGGCTATCATCTTCGACCAAACAAAATTTTGACCCTTGTGCAGTGGACGCGCAGCTTCCATTGCCATCATTCTTGGTGGCTCAATTTACTACACCTGGATTAAACACGTCGAGTCCCAACAACCGCCAGCTGCCTCTTCCGAAAAGGCTTACGAGCGTATACCCATGGACGAAGTTGAAGCAGGCAAAGCAGAGAGCCGAAATAGACCTGAATAAAAGTAGTCTACATATTTGGTCCTTTCCCCTTTATTGGATAATTTTATTTATTGGGTTGGTTATTGATAGATAGAGAGCAAGACATTCTTATCATTTTGTTCCGTACATTCGTTGACTATACGTAGATCAACGTTCATGTTATGTATACCCTACACCACTGGAGATCATATCCAACTTGATGATGATAATACATTGTCCTCGATTGCATGATATACAGCTATGACAACAACATGAATTATTTTTCCACAAACTTTGATCTCTTTCTACGTAGGTACGAAATCTATAAGTTTCCTTCCAACTTTACGTCTTCCTCTTTTCTAGTCAGTGATTTCTTAGTAGGCTGCTTTCCTCGTCCTGCCCGCTCGAGACTACCGTCCAAAAGTTCATAGGCAGGGCGGTATCTCTCTTCCTCACGATTTCCTGGGTTAGAACCGTCCGGAGCGGTGGTGCTAGTGATATCAGGTGTCGTCCGTTCTGAATCAACGGGTAGCCTTCCCGAGTCTGCGTTCCGGTAGAATGAATTTGGAGCTGCTAGTTCGTTGGGGCGTTTGAGGTTCGCTGATGCTGATGAGGGTTCGAGGTCGGGGACTGCTGAGCTTGAGGTACACATAGGTTGGATGCGAAGCGCGGGGTTTGGATATGTGTTGTACGTTGATCCTAAGCTCGTATATCTGATCGTATATTCAGCCCGTCAGCACCGGTGACATCATCTTAATGTGAACAAGAGAGGAAATGGGGAACGTACCCGCGGTCATACAATATACAATACGGAACGGCGAGCGAGCGCAAGAACGTCCATACATCTGTGTACGACCAGTTGATAATCGGGTGTACACGTTCAAATTGTGGCCAGTCCGCGTCTGTCATGTTTCGGAAACCGAGCGTCGCTGTGTACAATTCAACAAAGTAAGCATATACCCGGCGTTCAGTCTCGATGTATGGAACTTGATACTGACCTCCGTGTGGATCGTCCTTGCGCGTTCCGACAAGTATAGCCTCGATATGCGGGAAATCGGCCTTGTACACTTCCAACGCTCTACGCATCCCCTCGCCGCCTTTTGCTTTGCCAACAGGGTACTTTGGTCCTTTCGAACCATTAGGCTGGGGTGTCGCCGGGCGAGTTACACTCTCGATTGGCAAGTCGCGCGCAGATTCCTTTATTAACAGACTGGGTAGAGAATTGGGAGGGGCGTCGGTCTGTGGTGGAGAGCAATGGAATAGATCTAAGTTGTATGCGGTCATGGATTGTTTGATGAATTCCTCCAGTTCTGGGAAGGGTGAGGGGAGGGGGATGTAGAGTGTTGGTATCCGGTAGGGCTCCTTGAGAGAAGCATTGCGAGAGCCGAGTGCTGCGACGAAGAGGTGCAAGAGGACTGTGCCTACAAAATAGGTGGAAGTCAGCATGAGGTGCATCATAGAAGTACAGGAGACGCACAATCTTTGCCTCCGTTGAAGCTCAGGGACACGCGATCCTGGCTGCAGTCGCGTTGCTCAGTCTACGGTGAATGCATGCAGGATAGAGACAAGAGGACGCACCCGTGTTCATCAAGGGCCTGATTGATAACGCACAGCGCCTCCCTGACGAGGCCAGCAATCGGTGAGTCCGAATCCGCAAGTGTGTTGACATCGGCGGCAACCCTTTGCGGGTCAAACACTTGCATGTTTTTCGCGCCAGTGTGCTTGCCTGCTGCAACAGCTGCCATGGGATGAGCTCGACGTGAAGGATGACGGGCCAGTAGACTTGCTGTGGAGGACAGAAGAGAGCGTGAACACAGGTTCGCTGGAGTGTGTCCGACGACGATTCGGGCGATGACAAGCAGCGTCATCCGTTCACATGCACTCCCTACTTTCCTCTCATGTCCACTCCAGTATATCCAGTATATCCAGAATAATCTCAGGCAAAATAGACAACACAGCGTCAGCAGCACAACTGAAACCAGCTTATTCGCGAGCGAGTGCGTAAGAGGAGCTGAGAACTCGCTACCGGAGCGTGTGCATAAATACTCCTGACATACGCCAAACATTCCATTTCCATTATCTCCAATTGTCTCTCCGCCGTCAACAACGACTATCACAGTGACGACGACTCACGATGTCTGCGAGCAGGGCGTCTGGTGTGTCCAAGATTGCTGCAGAGAAGCACCATCGCATCCTCCTTGAGCTTGTCTCTCAGCCAGGGAATGGTCTGTTTCAAAGTTCTTTGTTGCTCCTCATTGTATAGCTAATCTTACATGTCTCAGACATATGTGCAGACTGCAAAGGTCTGTATGCTTGGTCAATCAATATCCAGGTCAAGTGAATCGATGCTAAGTTAGTGTCATTGCAGCCAAGGCACCGAGATGGGCTTCACACAATCTCGGCATATTCATCTGGTGCGTCTGCACACTACTCCTGTCCCGCTCGTCCATAACGCCTCATCGCACAATGTTATTTCAGCGTCCGATGTGCAAGTATACACCGCAAGATTGGTACTCATGTAACAAAGGTGTACGTATCTCTATATACGTTAATATTCGCTGGGTATGCTTAAACTCGCCCCTGAATTACAGCAAGAGCCTGACGCTCGATGATTGGTCCAAAGAACAAGTCGAAGTTTGTTTCGTCCTCACTTACTAGTACTGCCCAAACGTAACAGAGGTTGACATGATACTCGTTCTTCAGAACATGAAGACCATTGGTAATGTGCGAGCGAATGCATACTGGAATCCGGACGAGACTAAGCACCCATTGCCGACAAACATGGAAGAGTCGGAACGCGACAGCGAACTTGAAAAGTATATTCGATGTATGTCCTAAGTGTGGCACTAGACTGAAAGAATTTACTGAACATTGGTTCTGTATCGCCAGCAAAGTACCAGTTTCAGAGATTTCGGCCTCTCGGTGCCCGCGCTGCCGAAAAGCTAGGACCGTCTCAATCCCTCCAGTCCAGGACACCTATGCCATCGGCTCAGCCTTCTTCAACCGTCGTGCCTCCGATACGTTCGCAGACGGCACCCATACGTTCTGATATCGCAGCAGAATCGTCAAGAACAGCACCTCCTGTCCCCAGTGCTCCAGTTATGGATGCACGTTCGTTGTCCTCTGGCTCTGGGTTCATTGGTACTGGTGCTAGGATTGAGCTCCCTGCTCGAAGGTCCAGTTACAATCCGTTCCCTTCTTCCGCTACTGCCACTGCCTCTACGCCTTCCTCATCCTTTGCAACGTCCGCACCAGCGCCACCACCAAACCAACAAGCCTCACTTACCTCATCCACATTTAATGACCTCATTTCCTTGCAAGCACCTTCACTGAACTCTTCCCTCCCACTTCAATACTCGCAATCTCCTACTCAGCAAGTCCAACCCCAGCCATTCCAGTCGTCTCTGGCTACTGGATTGAACCAGGCGCCGACACTGTCCCCACCATTCGCCTCTTCTCCCTTCAACACGCCAACGGGTGGAATGACAAACCCATACGCAAACTTAGCACTCAATGCAGCACCGACTGGCTCTCCCTTCGCCTCTGTTAATAATCCCAACTCAAGCTTCCGAAGCGCGAGCCTTCCTACAGCAGGATATGGACAGTCGCCGTTGAACACAATGCCGACAGGGAGCTCACCAGGCTCATTCTCCCAGCCGTTCAACCCCTCTCCGAACCCATTTACTCAGATGCAAGGACAGACGCAGCAATATCCCGGTATGTCTGTTGCAAATTACAATAACAGCAGCACTTTGCCAAGCCAACCCTCTGGTACCTTCTTCCCCGCTCCGGGGAGCCAAGGCCAGCAAGGGCCGTTCCAGCCGGGCCCGTTCCAATCGTCGGCGAACATGCAAGCTGCGTATGGAGGGCAAGGTCAGCATCCGCAACAGCCGTTCCAGGGCATGCAGGGCGGAGGCGGCGTGAACAACCCGTTTGCACAATGGGGCGGAACATAGGCGTACCTGGAATAGGGACTGTTTCTCACTTTGATATCAGACTTGTATACCCATCATTTCTTGTAGTAATAGTCCAGTGTGAATGATGCAATACGTGCCGTTCCAAAAGGGGAGTGTGTACCGGACGATTGAGGGGAGATGCGGGAGAAGAACGCCTACAGTCGTAATAAATGGATAATTTAATATAAAAATATTCCGTGCTCGGAAAAGGAGAAAGCGATATAAACTTGGTCGCGTCTCCGTCGCGTCCTCACCTCCCGACCATCCCCATCTCCCTTCACAACTGCTGCCTCCCTGTCTCTCATCATGGAAAACGTCGAACAACGGTTTAAAGGCCAAAAGTTGGCCGTCCAGCCCGTAAAAGTCAAGAAAATATGCTGCAGTGCGTATTCCTTTGCTAGGAGACATGCATGTACTCTGACCCGTGTTCCACTTTCTAGTTGGTGCTGGTTATGTCGGTACGTGCTCAAGCCCAATGGTAGTCATGAATGTGGTATCTCATACAACCTGAAGGCGGTCCGACATGCGCGGTAATCGCGCTCAAGTGTCCACACATCGAAGTCACCATCGTCGACCTGAACCAGTCCCGCATTGATGCATGGAACAGTCCTGACTTCGCCCTCCCCATCTACGAGCCCGGGCTTGTCGACGTTGTCCGTCAAGCCCGTGGGCGCAATCTCTTCTTCTCCACGGACGTCGACAAGGGCATCCGGGAGGCCGACCTTATCTTCGTCTCCGTCAACACGCCTACAAAAAAGAGCGGCGTCGGTGCGGGCTTTGCTGCTGATCTCAAGTACGTTTTCATTATCCATTCCCTCTGCCTTCTATTGCGTGCCTCTCTTCCCTTCTTCCTTGTCTCCTACCACATTGTCTCCACGTTCCTGCTACGTATCCGCTGTTTTTAATATGCCTACCTGCCTTCCAGTTACGTCGAACTTGCAACACGCCGTATCGCCGCAACTGCCACGACCTCCAAGATTGTTGTTGAAAAATCAACAGTACCATGCCGTACAGCCGAGTCCATGCGCACGATCCTGGAAGCCAACTCCAAGAACGGTTGCCGGTTTGACATTCTCTCCAACCCCGAATTCTTAGCCGAGGGCACGGCCATCAAGGACCTCCTCAACCCGGACCGCGTTCTCATCGGTTCTCTCCAGACCCAGGAAGGTCTCTCCGCATGTGAATCGCTTGCTGAGGTATATGCGAATTGGGTTGAGTACGTCGTATCTTGGATTTACGTCACATTCGTTATTCGTGTGGAATTAACTTAAATTAAATTATAGGAAATCACGCATCCTGACGGTTGGCCTATGGTCCTCTGAGCTCTCCAAGCTCGCCGCCAACGCAATGCTCGCTCAACGTATCTCCTCTATTAACGCTCTGTCCGCAATCTGCGAAGCCACAGGTGCTAAGATTGACGAAGTCTCGCACGCCGTCGGGTGCGATTCCCGCGTTGGGCCCAAATTCCTCAAAGCATCCGTCGGGTTCGGTGGGTCATGTTTCCAAAAGGACATCCTCAACCTCGTCTACCTCAGCGAATCCCTACACCTACCCGAGGTCGCAGCATACTGGCGTCAAGTCGTTGAGATGAACGAATACCAAAAGCGACGGTTCTCCAAGACTGTCGTTGATACGCTATTTAACACTATTACGGGCAAGCGGATCGCCGTGTTGGGTTTTGCGTTCAAAGCTGATACGGGTGATACGCGCGAGAGTGCTGCGATTACGCTTATTAGGGACTTTATGTCTGAGCGTGCGCTTGTAAGGGTTTATGATCCTAAAGTTGAGCATGCACAGATCTGGCAAGACCTTCAAGAAGCTGCGCCTCAGTCTTCACTTGCAGACAGTACGTCCTTCCCCTCCCTTTTCAGATTCAGATCACTTACCACCCTCCCCCGTTAGTCCAAAAACAAGTCACCATCTGCCCATCCGCCCTCTCCGCCTGCCAATCCGCCGAAGCCGTCGTAATCGCAACCGAATGGTCCGAATTCAAGACCATCGAGTGGGAGACCATCTACACCAGCATGGAGAAACCCGCCTTCGTATTTGACGGCCGCCTCCTCCTTGATGCGGATAAACTTAGAGAGATCGGGTTTAAGGTCAAAGTCATTGGACGAGGTGAACGTCTCTAAATAGAGGATTTGGAAGTTATAGAATTCCTCGTCATGGACAGTTGGCTTTATTTAATCGTAGACGCAGCGCAAATACTCGGGTGTATTCTGATAACACCCGATTCTATACTTTTTCCCAAAGACCCTGCTTGCTTACTCGTTTAGAGACAGTGACTCCACTCAATACACAAGAGGACACTTAGACTAAATTCGTTATCGTTGGGTTATTTATCTATTCGACAAGAAATAATAGAGATAAAATTGTGTGCGGTGTGGTATACAGACAGCGTTATCGTGATTCGGAAGAAATCACAAATGAAAAATAATGCTAGTCTACTCCGTTTCGTTCATTACAGTGGTTCTCCAGTTCCATCTATGTGAGAGAACCAGAGACCACTAGAACATAATCATAAATTCAGGCCCCAAAAGAAATACGAATCACACCCCCTGCACGAGATCAACCGCCCTCGCAATGACCTCATCCACCGTCCAATGTTCACCCTGCGTGTGTTTCAGATCTAGGACATCCCCGATCTCATCACACGCCCTGAGCACGCAGTCCACATCCTCCTTTGTATGCGCCGCACTTAAACAGAACCTCACACGACTCGTTACAAGCGGTGTGGCAGGATACGCAACTACCACCACTGCAATCGGGGTTTTCCTCTCCAGCATCATCCGACTGAATACACACATCTTACCAGGGTTGAATAGGAGAAGAGGGACGATGGGACTGTCGACGTGTCCGTAGGTGATGAATCCCAATTTGTCGAGCCCACGAGAAAGATAGCGCGCGATGAATGCAAGTCGACGTAGTCGCATCTTGCCCTCGCTCCCATCTCTCAATGGTTCAGGAAGGTCCAACCAGTTCGGTATACTCGCCGCTGGTGCCGGTCCAGGATAGACGTACGCATTCGGATCTGAAGTCGAAGAAGGGGGGAGGGGAGGAGAAACACCCATGATACTCGCCATACTTGCAAGAATCTGAGTCAACACAGGGGGAGTCATGGCTTCTGCATACGGTCCCAGATGCCCACGAACACGGAGTCTGTCGATTAATGCCTTTGTGCCAGAGATGTACCCACCCGCGGCGCCGAATGACTTTGTGAATGTGCCCATGAGGATGTCGATCTCATTCGGATCGACGCCAAAGTAGTCAGCTACACCTCGGCCGTGCGAGCCGAGAGCCCCGATTGAATGCGCCTCATCGATGAATAAATAAAACTGAACGAGAGAAGAAAAGCCAAAATTAGAATGCTTAACGCCGTATAGTACAGCAGACTAAAAATACCTTGTAGCGTTTCTTGAGCTCCATGATGACCGGCAAGTTTGTCATAGTGCCCTCCATACTGAACAATCCCTCGACAATGAGCAAGATTTTCTTCCATGGTCGATGTGTTTTAGGCTGTCCCTGGCTAATAACCTCACGCAGAAGCGACTCCAGCGCCTCCATGTTGTTATGCTTGAACGTGCGAACGTTCGCTCCGCTTAGACGTACACCGTAGCGAATAGAAGCGTGATTCAGCTCGTCCGAAATAACAAGGCATCCTTTGTTAACCAAAGCCGGCAAGATGGCAGAATTCGTTGCAAAGCCCATCGAACTGATCAGCGCGTCTTCCTTTCCAAGAAACTTCGCCACAAGTTGTTCAGTTTGCTGGTGCAAGTCGAGAGTGCCACCTTCGAGCCGCGCGCCGCACGCGCCGATTCCATAGCGACGAATACCCTCTTCGACAGCGTCCGCACATCCGCCACGAGCCTGTGCAAAACCCAGGTAATTGTACGAAGACAAATTCAATGCGCGTGTACGAGTTCCAGTGAGCTGGAAGGTGTCGTTGAAATCATTGGTCGTTCGATCCAGCAAAGTGATAGTCCGTCCAGGTACACCAGTGCATGGACGTGCAAAGCAGTCATCCATGCGCTTCTTCAGTCTGCGCGTATAAAACGAATCAAAGTCTGAGTTTAGTGCAGCGTATCCCTGATTTTAAGCAGCGCGTCAGGATGTCTCGGACACATGGCAAGGAAAAAAGAAACGTCGACGCACATCCCTCTCCTTAAGATGCCGGTAGTTCTTTGGACGAAGTCGCTTGCCAAGGAAGTCGCGAAGGTGTCCGAGACAAATAAGAATAATATAGCTGATGTATGTCGTGAGTAAAATCCGATACGGGGGTTCGACCTCCTCAAGGTCGTATTTGTCATTGGGACGCGCAGCGGACTCATACCGATACTGTTCATTCGCGCAATGGCCGAACTCGGAATGAACGGTATGAAAAACTTGCTCGGACGTGGGCGGGATAGTGGGTAGGTCGAGTCCGTCGTCATGCTTGTTGTCGGTGTAGTCGTCCAACACGGTACTGTCGTCGGTGGAGGAGGTGAAGGTAGAGGAAGTGGAGAGGGCTGGGGTAGTGGAACCGCTCGTGCTCGTGCTGCGCGAGGACCTGCTGAGTGCATCCATGTGGGAGACGGCAGATAGGTAGGAGGCAGCTGAGCTGAGGGGGATGGACGACTTTTTCTTTCTGGAAAAGATGGACGGCGACTGAGACGCGGGGTTCAATGCCATTGGCGAGGGCATGGCTGGTGCCGCTGCTCCTTCTTGTTCTCGTTCTCGTTCTCAAGCTCACCCTCGTCCTGCACACTGGCAGAGCACGTCCTGTATTTTACGTGGACGGACGAGCTTGTGATGGAGGGAAGAGAGAGGGAGAGAGACAACGAGCGAGGAGAAAAGCGGGAATAGTAATAGCAATGGGAGTAATACGACAAACAACGCACGCGGGCTGACAAATCATTCTCGCGTCATCACAATGCTCTCATCCGTTACATGCTAAGTACAACTACATTTCTCTTTATCTATGTCTTCCAAATCAACGACGGATCGACACCCGCCCTTGTCGGCCCACTAACCCCTCCGACAGCATTCATACTCCGTGAATCATAATACAAGAACGGGTCGGGATCCGCACTCTGTCCACCATATCCCACTCCATGCCGCATATGCAGATCTTGCATTTCACTACCACTCGCCGGAGAGCCGTACAAAAGCTGCGAGTCGTAGATCACTTGCCCCGGTGGTGAAGAAGGTACGGGTGCAACTGCTGGTGCACTTGCCTGAAGAGCACCATGCGGCCCTGAGAAGGACACGCTGTGATGGTGCCGTCCGCCCAATCGTCCGAAATTACTTCCTAAATGCCCTACTGGAAGCGCAGCTGATGCAGTGTTAGCACTCTGATATACTGAGTCCTGTGTGTCTGCGAACGACTGCGTCACTGAGGGTTGCGACATTGAGAGCGACTGCGATCTCGCCCGCTCATGTCCAACTGGCAACGGTCCGAACTGCGATCCAGACGGCGGCACGTGCCCCACTAGTCCTAACTGACCACTCGTGTTACTCCATATTGACGACGTCGCACTATTAAAGCCAGAGCCAAACAGCAATGATGCCTGGGGCGTAGACGACTGATGGACGAAGAGTGACTGATCACTTTTCGAACGCGAAAAGGCTAGTACATTATTTAGCAAATCTTGAGCAGTTGTACCCGGAGGCAGTGTAGCGGGAGGCGCTAGTCGTGTTGGCGAGGAAGCCGTCGATAGTTGCATTGACGGAAATGCTTGAGGTGACATATGAAGAGGCGACATATGCGGCGGCTGAATAATTTTCTGCATCGGAGACAAATGTGATCTGATTACAATAAAGATCAATATAAAATTTAATACCACTACTTCATGCGCAGGGACATACTTCGGAGGACTCCACACTATTTTCTCATCTTCCTCTTCATCAAAGTCACCGCCGGCATCCGCTCCATCCTTAAGAGCTTCATTGAACGCTTCACGGACCACATCATCATCTGTACGCGATGTCTGCGTCGTGTTGTCGTTATCCTCGTCATGCTCATGATTATCCTGAGCGGGCTGAATTGGTTCTAATGGAGGGCCAGGTGCGGCAACGATAGGTGTTGCAACTCGTGCGGGTTCATCAACGGCAGAAGGTTGCCCAGACAGTGTGAACTTGCCGTAAGAGAATGAGACTGGCGAATTCTACATCATCAGATCAGCGAGATCAGTTCAATGTATGTTCGATAGGAAAGATTTCACCTCAATTGTAGCAATCTGTTCTGCATCTTTCAGGATATCCGATATTCGCATAAGATATTCTTCATTAGGATGAGCCACACGAGCCTCAGAAGCCAGTTCGTCGTCTTTCAAGGGCGGACGAACGAACAAATTCCGTTGGATTGGCGAGAAGCCACTCAGTTCCACGTCCTCATCCAGCGGGATCTTCAACTCAGGCAGCCTCGCGCGAGGATACGAGTCACTCAGTGATGTCAGAAAAGATACATACCCGTTCCAAAACGCCCTGATAGAGTTCTTATAATAGTCGGGTGACGAAGAAGCTGCTGTTGCTTTGGTCAACTGCTGAGCGTTCGTTAACAGCCACTTAGATGCGATGCGGATGGCCGGGAGGACGCGTCGGAAAATGGCTGTGATCTGCTGCGCGAGATCTCCGCTATCCAACACATCCTCTATCTTGACCGAAAGTTGGACTCTCGACGTGTCGAACAGCGCTCGAGACAAAGAAAGAATATGAGTAGCAATAAGTGGTTCAATGACTCTTCGATTCGCGCGTATATTCTTGTCCCGAATCATACGAATCTTCCAGAGTGCACTGAATGCGAGAACGACGATGTCGGACACGACGTTAGCTGGAAGGGCGGGCTCGGAAATCAGCGACCTGAACTTCGCAATGACGTATCGGGAATGTTTGGAGGCTCTTGTCGCGAGTCTATAACGCTGTCAGGAAGCAACAATATTGATAGGTATAGAAACATACTCGTCAGAATCAAGATACCAAAGTCCGTGAAGCACAACAACCAGCTCTAAGAATCTATCCACACGGATTTTTTGAACCACCTGAGAGTCATCTCCTTGATTCGCCTTAGACACTCGGTACTGATCCAATGCTTTCTTCAGAACAGTGTTCAAGTTGTCCGATGCAGTATCATACGGATGCTGGACGCAGAGTGCACGATAGTAATGTAGGAGCGAACGAAATGAATCCTTCTGATATGAAGCCAAAATTGCGAGTTGATGAGACGCATTGCCATCGTTGGGAAGCAGTAATCGGGCCTGCTCGTAAATAACTCTGGCCCGAGAATAGTTTCGAGGCCTTGCGATAGTTTCATAGCTACTCTTTCCCCTGCCTCTTCCCGATTTTCTGGGAGGTCCTTCCTCATGGCCCGCTCTTGGTCTACCACCGCCGTCGTTGTATTGCTCACGATATCGAGCAATGTCACCCAAACAGACAAATAACTTCGTGAATATCGCCAACTTGGCTTCTCGCTCTTCATTTTCCCCAACGATTGTTTCTGTCTCTTCTGGGAACACATTTCTCCCGGATTCCGTCTGCAAGTTTTCCTCTTGTTCAGGACGCAATACTTCTGCTTCCACAAGCGCCGAACGTGCTTCCGTCAACCCGAACTGCATCTGGTAGCGGACAAGCAGTTGCACATAGAACCTCTCCTCTTCAGCCAGGAACTGGCGGAATCGCGCGAGCATTTTGCGGTATTCGACATGACCTCCTGCACTGGGGACTTGACGCGCAGCAGCACCCTTGTGTGCTTGCGCAGCAGGCGAGAACAAGTTCCTGTCAAGAATGGCCAAGCGCTGCTTATAAACTGAGATGGCTTGATAGGAAGTCTGCATCCAGATATGCGTCTCTGCATCCTTTGCCTCCTTTGACATGGGGTAGAGTAACAGTAACTTCAAATGCTGCTTTCGAAGACTGAAAAAGTGTAAATACATATGATTAAGTTGGTACGGCTATTGAATCAACGAATCAAAGTACCTCTTGCGCTTGAATTCGACATCCTTGTCCAAGACTTCATTTCTTTTTACTGCCTCCTTCAAGCTTTGGGCGAGTGCCCGTGCTTCGCTAGAAATAGGATAGCAGGACTGAGTTAGGCTGTCTGATCACGCCACAAGGAGGAAGCTGACTTTGCTACATCGGATACTGATTGATGAGCAGTAGCTTGCATGTTGCACGCATACGTTTGACGGATGAGTCGTCAAGCAGCCCGGATGTTATGAGGCGGGACAGGAGAGCATCGTCAGTGTGGTTCTGGGAGACTCTCAGCCGTTCTGTGGCCAAGAGACGCGCGACACACAAAAGGCCTCCTGCCGCTGCTGAACCAGAAATTCCCACGGCTACTTGCAGGATGCCTTATCTAGCCGAATCACGTCAGCAGATTTAATTTTCTGGAATCGTACTTTCTTGGTGGTACCCGTACTACGCTTTCTGGCATATTTCTTAAAAAACAAAAGTACAAACATTGAAACACAGGGATTACGACAGCAACGTAAAGATACAGTGGTGGTGACTAAATGGTGTCAAAATAGAAGATATTACAACAACTAGAAATTCTCATAAACTGCGTTGTTGTAAAGAGACTACGATGGAGGTAGGGAACCTATACCACGAAATCGGTCAGTATTATGAGACAATCGTAGAGGGAGGACCTCTTCTTACTAACCAAAGACATTATAGTGGTCATTCATGTATAGCGGCGTGGATTGGAATTCTTGAGATTGGTGAGAGTCATGACCAACATGTGGACTCGGCTGATCACTATGATTAGTACTCGATAGTGCTGGCAAATCATACATAGAACCGAGCATAGAAGAGGGCTGTCCCATTGAATACTCGCTCCAATACTGGTTGTAGCGCCCACTCCCCTCGGCAACGGCAGCTGGTGAATGATGGAACCCTGTGGACATTCGGTCGTCTACGAATCCGGTGCTGTACTGCTGCGGCAAGACAGAGGTCGAAAGCCCTGATGGAAAACCCAACGGATCTTCTGATGACCATCGAGAATACGAGTTGAACAGAGCCAGCGCACGCGCATTCCCCATCACATCCGGTGCATGAGCATAGCGCTGATCGTTCGCTGCCGCTGGAGCATACAGCTGAGGCGCCAAAGTGGACGCGTCTCGAGTCCCGTGGAGGTGAGATGGATCCCCCAACAGTACAGTTCCAACTGGGTCATCTGCCGAACGTTTTCTCGGTCTGTCGGCGTTTGCGAGAGGAAGCTCATAATCGGGTAGATCGTCCTTAGCACCATTCAAAAGTTCCCATGCTCTGCCGGCGCTGGGCCAAACTATTTCGATACGCTTCAAGACGTCCATGCATTTTTCAAGGCCAAGGGATGCTTGCGGATCATTTAAATTCGTCGCCACTACGTGAAGAAATAGGAGTTAATCATGGTTCTTGGTTACCAGTTACGGAACGTAGACGAAGAACGCACTCGCTGTAATGTGCATTATTCCGGCAGTGAAAATATAGTAGCTTAAAAATACAGAACATCGCTTGAGGCAGAAGCGTTCTTGATATACTGATACTAGAGTGACGTTAGTAAAAATTTAATAAAGCTGACAAAGTCGTCTGGTATTCACCGATTGACGTGATATGGTTGGCGGCCGAAACGCATAAATTAAAGTTCTTCTGAGCTGCGGAGTATGCGTTTTGATCAACCGGAGACTCTAGTTGAGAGCTGGCAAGAAGCAGTCAGATTGCAGCTCAGGACGAAGTAAACAAATGTGTACCGTTTTCGATGCATTGCTATGTAGTGCGGAATACTGCGATAGCATCGCGTCAGCTGGGACCTCGAAAATAAAAACAGGGAATACGTACAATGGCCGATGAAGTAGAATTACAACACACCAATATTGCATATGCAAAGTAAGGACATTCGACGGTGGCATTGGCGTCGATTTAACGCTCGTATCGAACTGTAAATACTCCGGCAAATCCATGTACCATCTATCAAGCGTCCGCTCGAGTTGCAAGGCCTCAAGGTGACGACTTGACACTGGGTTAACAGCATAGATCGCTTGCATAATCATTGCAAGTATCGACGCTAGCGAAGTTTGCCCAGGTCTATAAGCATAAATGGACCGGTCCTAGAGAAATATACTTACAAAGTCGAGCAGCTTCATTGAAGCACGAAATGACACGTCCTGGAACGGGATTGAATGCCGGCACAGGTGCCGTTATGACTTCAACCGGGTCGGCCAGGATTGCGTTTGGTGTTGATTCGTCAGGTGACCATAACTCAAGTTCTTCAATCTACTCGTGCAATTAATATATTAAACGTGTGCTGAGGGATAACATGCACTTACCTCTTCAACACTCGGCAATCGCGTGTCGTAATCTGCTTCGAATATTGAAAGAGGCCGTCCTATGTACGCAGATACGTACTTATCCATTATCACGCACGCGTACCAGATGCGTTTCCGTATCTGTTGCTCTAGAGCAGTAAAGATGGGTTCGCCGTCACGAGACCAGCCATCTGAAGAGCGGTGCATTCCTAGATCTTGAGCCTTCGGCCATGTAAGTCGGGCACCATCCTGGCGTTGACTAGAAACACGTACCATTCTAACCGCCATACCTATGTAAAGCCAGCTCTGAGCCATTGCGCCAATTCCAATTTCCCGATATCCCATCAGTATAAGTGCCTGACAAGTACTCGGACGCGAACTAGAGTAGCACCTATCAAGCAAAACTTTCGCTCGCTCCAAAAAGCCATCGCCAGCTGCCCACATATGACCAGAATCAGGGTCTGGCAAAGCCGCATCCGCTTCTAGCTCAGACGTGATTCCCGTACCCGGGTTTTTGGAAGTCTCAACTTCCGGAGCTGTGATTTCGGATGGAGCTGTTTGATTTGAATTTGTAGATCTCTCGCCATGTTGACTAGGACCAAAATCCGCAGAAGACCGAGAAGGATCTAATAAGACTTGTCCGGGTGATGCACTCGTACCATGAGCAACAGGCGCGTAACGTGCAGCAATTGAAAACATCGCAAGCAATAGAAGGGTTGAAATACGAGGCGACGCTCCACTGGCGCTCTTCTCGCGGTTGTCGTCATTTGGTGCATCATCATCAACATGCGCAGAAGAAGCCGAAGATGAGCGATGCCCTTGTGAAGTTGAATCCAGCGAAAGGTCAGTTGAGCGACCGCGGTCACTGGATGAAGGTTTTGGAGCCGATTTGTTCTGCTCCAAAACATCACACCTGTTCAATATTCAGCATCGCATTGCGGCAGTAAAGAACCGGTTGCTCACGTTTCTTTAAAATCGCGAAGGAAAGTCTGTTTATGGACAATTGGTAGAAACGGGTGCACATGGGTGAAATAAAGTTCCAGAAGATGCTCTTGGACGTCACGAGCTGGGAGACGAGCACGGGCAGCACGCTCACAAGCTTCCGCTTCTTTGGCTCTAGCACTGTGCAGTGTAGAGGACGGGGCAACAGGTGGCCACACCCGTGCTTTAGGAAAATGCCTACAGGAAAATGGACATGAGTCCAAGGTAATTTTTTAAATTAAAATTAGAGTGTAATATTACCATATACCACCTTTGTTCCTTCCGTCCACCCTTAATTTCTGACCAAGAAGGTGCAGGCCACTCGCTTTCCCATGGAAGCGAACTTGAGCTTCCTCATTAATCGACAACTGACCCACGCCACCAGTAATGCCTTCTTCTCCCTCAACATTTTCTGCTTCGTCCACAGCACTATCAATCCCATACGATGAATGTGAGGATGCAGTTGATGGGGGTTGTCCCATCGCCGAATTGTTGTATATTGTTGATGCAAAGGAAGATGGTACTGGCGGAGAATATCGGGCTGCGCTCGTAGTCATGGACAACGGATTCGCAGGATCTGACGATCCACCGATAGAACCCATGCTTTGTTTATGACCAGGCTGGGAATGCACGAATCGCTCGGGTGAATATTCTAATTGACGTTGCACGGGAGAATCAATACGCCTCCGCTGTCTCTCTCTTTCATCGTTGGGACCTGGTGCCTGAAACGTATGCCTACCCGCCGTCACACCTGATGAAGATGAAGGGATGGAACTACGAGACCGCGCAGCTGCCTTCATGCGCTCGGTTACCGTATCTTGCCATTCGTTTGAAGGACTAATGAGTTTACTTAGTCACCAGAAATATCAACTCAGAAGAGAGTGAGCCTACTGGGCGGTTGACAGACTGCTCGTTTCCATTTCTTGACCGAGACCAACCATCCGACCCCGTCCTTGGACACTTGCCGGAGGACCACTCATTCCCGACGCGCTTCCAGAGACTCTGCTGTCTTTCACTGTCCCAGCGCTTCCACTGCTCCTTTCGTCGCTACTACCCGCAGTCGGCCGTGAGGAATGTTTTGCATCAACATTTACGCTAGTCGTTTGAATTTGAGCCTTCCTTCCTTTTGTTCCATATGCTCCCCGGTCTACGCGATCCACGATCTCCCTTGCCAGTGGGTCATTATTTCGTAGATCCTCCAAGAGGGACCGGGCCCGTTCATCAGGTACAGATACATCTAAATATTGTAGACACGATAAATAAAGTTCGAAAAAAAGGTACAAAAGTGGACGATTCACCATTTTCCAAGACACTTCTCTCAGGGTTTGCAAGTGCGAGAATAATCCCGACAAGTGCCTCCGTTTGATGCAAACGGGATTCAATGGCATCAATGTACCCTTTTGGAGGCCCACGTTTCCGCGAGGGACCAAGAAATGTGCATGCTGAAAATATGATGATACGTAAGCCCATTCACCCATAGAGAAGGAACGGATCTCGCAAGCCCCAAAATATCACAGATTCCGGGTAAAATGAAGAGGCGCATATAACAGCAATATGCAATAAAAAGGTGCAACTTACGCGTCCCAAGCATCATACAGCTCTTGCAAGGTTCCCCATCTCCAGTGCGTTCGCACTTGCATTTTGATTTGCGACACTGGTCGCAAGCTTAGAGGCAAGCAAATATAAATGCTGGATTTACAGCTTGATAAAAAAAGAACTCCTTACCTTTACTGCTTCTCCTCCTCACTTGTTTCTCACCCTTTTTGCCGCCGGCGCTCGCATCAACTGTAGAATACTCGTCTGCCTCGTCATATCGTGATGTCCCGTGAGGAAGATTCCCAAGGACGTCATCATCGTCATACGACTCGAGCGTGTCCAAGTCAACGTCTGCATGGTACATGTTGCCACTCATGGTCGTTAGGCGTGTAGAAGTGCTCGGCGTCGTAAACTCTGATAATAGCTGCGCCACCTGATTATCGTTTCGTTGACTTAAGGTGTATCCGTACTTCTGGCGATCATAACCTGACTGATGCCCTAAAGATCTATGATGCGCCGAGCGGGCTCTCTTACTCCAAGTTAGAGCCTGTAATAAACTATTACTGAATTCCATCGCTTACCCTTGCTCCAAGAGTAGACGGTAAATGCGTGGCTTGTGTGAAGGGTGCAACCGACCCGCTTGAACCAGCAGTGAACGAATGTAAACCACTCGCTTGTGTCTGTTGTCCTCCAGTAGATTCTATATCTACGTAAGACTGGTCTGCGCTGAGCTTGAGATCTTCCTCCTGTTCACCCTTAAGGGCGTAATGGGTATATATGCTAGGAGAAGTAGAGTGAAAAGGAGGTTGTGAAGTTGTGAACGGAGAACGAGCGCGAGAAGCAATATAAGGCGACACTCTAGGGACGCTAGATGTAGCTGATCGATGTACTTGGCTGCTCGATGGTACCGAGGAATGCGACCACGACTGAGCTTCTGACGAAACAAGCGAAGGATCTAAATTCTGTGTTGGTGAAGCCGCTGGATTGGATGGATTGCCGCGGGCTACACCGGCGTCCGAGTAAGGTGTTATCAAATGGTGTGATGAATGTGTGTCGTAGTACGGTGAACCGACCGCCGATACAGCGACAGAGCGGCTAGTCGATCGTGAGCTGACTAAAGAAAGGCCTGTAGAAGAAATCGAGTGCGAAAGAGAAGGCGGCGCCGAAGAATCCCTCGAGCTCGGTGTCGCTGAGTGTGTGTCGAAACTTCCTAAATTGCTAAAATTGCCTGATAACTGCGCGTACGGGTGGTAACGGACGGACGAGACTGGTGACGGTTGGGAAGAAGCTGCCTGACTAGGATGTGCAAAATTTTGGTGTCGACTCTGAGTTCGATTGGAAGACGGCGCGTATGTTGGATGGGTGGTAATGACAGAAGTCACCGCTCGAGGAGGTGGGAAAAGTGAGGAGAAGTTGGACGCTGGGGTCAGACGAGGAAGAGATGATTGATGAGAATCAACGTCAGCCTCTTCTCTGGATGCCTCCTCGGAAAGCCTATCGACCGAGTAACTTCGGTTTTCAGACGAGTGTGCGGGAGAGTATAACCCGCTGCTTCTCGCCTGCGAGACAGACGACTCCTGCGGAGAATGGACGTCAGTATAAAAACTAAAATTTGAATGTTCTCGACTCTGATGCTGATTAACAAGTCCTGCTCCGCTCGGTTCAACGCCTACATGCGAAACAGCAGGTACCTGCTGCGAGCCCGATGGTAACTGGGAAGAACGTGTGTTATCAGGCTTCTGACCAAGCGCCGCGTCGCCGCGCGAAAAATCATGATTAAGGCTGGGCCCGTCTGTCCCAGTGTATCCACTGGTGTAATCAATTCCATGAAGACGACTGAACCCTGCATTCTCCTTGAAGGAGGGCGGGGGGCACATACTGGTGGTACAAGAGATACGACCAGCGACAACGCCAGAGATGTGGAGAGAAAAAGGACAGAAGGGACGAAGATGAAGGAGACAGGAGGAGGGGAGTACTGCAGAACTGGAGAGAGAAAGGTCAATAAATCGGACATACGGGTTAAGTTAAGAGAGTTGGAGTAAACTCTTTTGGGTTGTTACAACAAATTTCGTTTGTTGGGGTGTTGTTTGACTGTGGACCCTTAGACAAGGAACAAACGAGCACGAGCCACACTCAGTGTGGGCGATCACTCTGCTCTGAATGAAAGACCGACTCTCCGGGTAGACGGAGCAGATACCCGATTCCGAGCTTGTCTCGCTTCGGCAATGATATAGACTACCCGAGATTGCCTTTGCCACTACTAGCCCACAGACACAACACGTCTCTCCCGGATACAATGAAGAACTGCAGCAGGAGGGTGGTGGTAACTGCTGAGCAATACAGTAGCGACTCGGACGCGTCGAGGAGACCAAGTGACAGAAGCACAGAGTGACCATGTGCCATAATCTCTCGTGGAACTCGCCTTCTATTTCGGGAATCTCCGACATTGTTCCGTGACTACACATATACATATTTGCTTCCGCCATACGTCACTTTCACTCTAGCTTATTCATCACATACATTTTAGTGCCCTGCACAAAATTTGTTTTCCTTCAAGATTCTCTCCTTGAGGGCCACCGCAGCTATCATTCCGCCATCCAAGCCTTCGCTTGTGCAGAGACGACCGACTATCTCATACCTTGTATGGCTAAGGGGGCAGAAGCACATGTGCATACCATCACATGTGACGTAAGGCATTCTCCGTCTTTGTGATGCAACACCCTCAAATTTGTCGTCACACAGCATCTGTGATCCTCTTAGCTCTCCTGTTTCGATTCTGAAAATTACCGCTGCGCGCTGCTCTGCAGAGCTTCTACAAAATTGAGCACACGAGCCAGGGCGAAGGCATTTTTCGTTTGGTCCTATGACTAGAGGATTGACTTGAAGAAACTATTCATAGCGTTCGGTCATTCATGACCCCGACGACAACGCCTGAGGCCAATTCGATAGTGGCAAGCCAATGTGTTGGCGCCGGTACTGCTGCTAGCACTACCAGCGTTGCTTGCTCGCTTCGGTGCCCCATTCTGCATTGATTAAAGCACGATGAAGCGTGATGAAGCCACAACCACGTCGTTCGTCCATGGATCTTTGTACAGATTTGTATCGTTGGCCGACCCGAAACCTCCGCAAGCCCGTCAACATCCTTTTCCCTCGGCCTTCTTGAATCTTGACTGCTATCGATTTCCAGTTTTGGTTTGCTCCGGTTTCGGGATCTGCGTTGGTGATCGGAAAGAGAAACCCGCGTGGACCTTGCATCGCTTGCATTCGATGCATCTGTTGCGGCCACCTTTCGGAACGTTCAAAAGAGAAAGAGAAACGTGACACAGCATCGGGGTATTTCGGACTAGTTCAGGTCCCTCGGAAGCCTTGAAGAAAAATTTCGCTTGGTACGTGTGCCAGCATAAGTTACGCTGGACGCGATTGGTAGGTTAATTAATCGCATCATGCATAGTGATCGATAGTCCAATGCATTCTTGGATGAACTGTGCAGAAGCCCAAGCTTAATGAGGTTCTGGCATTCCTCTTCGCGGAACATTTTGGCACTTTTCAATAGACTCAGTATTGCCCCGAATGCCTGGCGAGTAGGTGACGGGAGTATATGGTTCCTCTGTGCGGCCCGAAGTCGGTCAACTGCGCTTCGACTTCCCGCGCCTCAAAGAACGAAGAGTATAGAAATAAGTCAAGGGTAATACATAACAAGGCTCCTTCCAACCCCGTCATGAACCTCTGCAATCCTTCGGAGTGTGCCCAAATTGGTTATCGTAAATCCTCAGCACAATTGTGGAAGCTAATACCTTGTTTACAAGCGAGAGATTGCAATTGAATCCCAGTTCCTGCCCACACCCCCGAGCATTTCGCACTACTCAAACCGTACCCTTCCGTTCTTAACGATGGTCAATAGTCCATTGAAACACGAGGACCAGATCTGAATTGAAGTTCCGGCGAACGCACCGCATCCACAACGAACCATCTTCACTTTCATCATACTCTATCCATTGAAGAACATGCATTCGTCACGTTTTTCAGTGCTGTCCCAACCCTGTATCGGCCCTTCGGACTAGTGCCCAGCTCACAAATTTTGCTTTTCAATGGATGGTTGGATGCAAATGACCCCTGTGCAGGATCGTTGCTAACAGGCATATGTTTAACTTCGTATCGCTCTATCCGGTGTCTTTTCTGCTCAGTGATGGAAACTTATTGCCAAATAGATGCAGTTCTCGATCTTCTAGGGAAAGGTGAAGGCGTAACACTTGCTCATTCTCGCGTTACGATGCCCCAACCAATAAGACTAACTAATCACTTGATTCAAGAGTTGCCGCACGCAATGCATTATAGGAACGTTTCCCCTCCACGATGTCTCAATCCCTAAGTAGCCATTACTTCCAGAAGACACTGCATTTTTCTTTCCTCGGTCGCAAAAGAAGCAAAGATCCTTGATCTTGACTCGAAGCACATGCACGTCGTTCGCGCATTCCTTCCTTCGAGGGTCTCTGCGAGCATGGTCGGAGGTTGTCCCGTACGGTGTACCCCCCACCGGCCATGCTTCTGTCAGAGCAAGCGAGATATTGCGGGGAAGGAACAGGGTATGGAACAGAGATTTACGTTCTTTCTCCAAGAACTTCTTTCACGAATCACCTTGTTACTACATTGCGGCAAACACGCGCATCTGTGTGTATCTCCCTGCATTCGTTTCGGACATTCAGCCTTTCCTTTTGTCTTCTCGCTGTCACTCTGAAGCGCCACTGTTCTTCGAAAGCACTCCTCGGTTCAGACCGTGTGGTACACAAATTTCAAGCATTCCCCACTGCTTCAGGCAGGATATCTGAGATCCATTTTTCAGAACTATGCTCAGTTCGCGATTGGGACGCCAAGGTGCTGGTCTAAACTATCGGACGACCGTGCGTTGAATACGCGTTGCAATAATGATATCGCTACCTGTTACCGAAACTGCGGTTTACGAGAGAGCCTTATTTTACCGACTGTAGGAACTTGTAAGGCTTTGGTGTTCCGACATCTCCACAAGTGGATGCAGTAAGTACCCAAACAAATTGACGTAGGCACTTCTAATTAGTGCCATGACTACATGCGATAGGCTCGTACAAGGACGTACAGATCACAATGGTGCACAGACACGTAAAAATTACAGACTTCCCATTGAAACACGAAAAGGAAGCAAATATCATGGAAGTAAGTTACCTTTCGGAAACCAACGGTCAGAAGCCCACAAGGTAAACCCCGAAACCCGGGCGCAGTATGAAAAAAGCACCGGGGGTAGATATGATGTCTTAATTAGGAGTTAAAGCAAAACAGCAATGAATGGATTTCGGACGACGGAGTGCCGACCGGAACTGTTTGGTACTGCTGACGATCATAGCTCATATTTACTATATTTGATGGTACTACCCCTCAACTTCTGGGGACAGCTTTCATGCTGTGCAACTTCCTTGAGCACGGTTCTTCCTAACCGAGGTGGCTCTATGAAATTCTTCTCTCCCGTGATGTCTTCTCTTATCTCAGTAGTTGAATTTCACGTATTAGAAGTAGTACATTCCTTGGCCTTGAATTGAACAGATTCCTACTTTCCACGTCACCAGATCAGTCATTCGAACCTCCTATCCGACGAGCGTAAACCTCTGTATAGACTGTAGCCGACCACACACCACATGTAACGAGGCAGCAAAAAAATAAACGCTAGGAGACGCAGGAGTCGATAACTCCGCACGAATCGGAAATCAAATGAGGATAGGTATTTCAAGTAGTGCTACCGACATTCCAGATGTTGTAACCGCGAGATTTTCGGCCAACGACAGGTAAATCAAGCGATGTAGATAGGTTTAAGGTGGTGTATACACACCCTCTCGTTTAACTTATGCGTGAATCCAAAGATACCTCGACACCCGACAAAGGTATTTCACTAGTAGTAGATGAAGAGAGAGGTGAATTACTTAAAGGCTGCAGAAGCGACGGAGAAATACTGCTGACAGGTGGATGGCATAAGAGATGGCGAATAGAGATGGAGGTGAAGAATTGCACCAACGACCACACTGGGAAATCCGGCTGTGTGCGTTAGGAACGCAAAAAGTAACTAAAAAGGTAACTGAATGGAGATGACCAATCTACTATTGTAGCACAGCAGAAACATTTCCATAGGAGGGATGCACAAGAAATAGGCCCTAGAATGGATGGGGTTTTCCGTGGATCCATACCACGGTAAGGAAACTCTCACAGTAACCGTACCGCAGTAAGGATTCCCACAGTTACTGTGGTTTACTGCGTGTCCACCAATGCTGAGGGAAAAAAATACTCTAACCGAAGACACTCATTTGAACTCGTTACTTTGCTACATCTTACTCTAATACATACTCTAAGCCCAAAAAAAATGTCTCAAAGCTATTCTTCTCTATCTCCTACTAGTATCTATACTCAGTTTCATTATAATTGTACCAGAGTTCTGGTTTCTACCCCTGGTGCTTCTTCTCCCACACCATCCATACCATTAGCACATCAAGCTGAATTTCATAAATGTCTAGCAGAAGCACCAGCCCCAGCAGCTATTCTATTAGCTCTAAAAAGGAAGAGGAAGGCTGCTGGTTCAGTATATAACATGACAGATGAGAAGGTTTGGGATATGAATAATGAGGAAATACTTAGTATACTTTCTTCCTTTCTTCCTTTCTATCTTTTTTCTTGCTCTGTATTGTAGTTCTTTTATTAGTAATACAGATTATATTATTCTAAATGTATATGTGTTAATATTGGTCAAATAATAATAACTTCTTGTATATTCAGCTTCCTACTGTGTCAAATAGACTTCTCTAGCATATTAGCACTATAACATTTCTGTCAGATGTGTTGAGCATAATAGAATAAGGAAAAT